GTCGGCGCACAAGAGCGTTCCTTGTTGGCGCATCATCGGCGCACAACGTGTTCCCTGTTGGCGCACAAGCGTGTTTACTGTCGCCGTGCAAGAGTGATCCAACACGAAAACAATTTTGGGGGCGGTCCCCCAAAAAGACACATTTGTTGTTGACTTAACCTGTCATTGTGTTCTTACAATCTGGAACAACAAATCACAGACAGTGGGACATTTTGGCTGTTTTGTATCTTTAGATGTCTTTTTGTCGATTTACGTCATCCGACTCCTGCGCACAATATTATGGATGGCAATGGAATGTTCATCTACGGGCGGTCCATCCTCTGCTGCAACTGCTGCTGCTGCTGCTGCTGCTGCTAGTCAAGCCAAAGAAGCAGTCCTTTACTAGAAGGGGTTAGACGGTTTTGAGGTACCAGCCAACAAGGGGTCCATTTTCAATATGCAGACACCGCTGTTGGGCCTTGCGTCTTGCGACAGCCGCTGGTAGCTGTGCCGGTGAGCACTTTGGCTCGGCCAGGCTCATTTTTCATCTCTCTCGGCTTCAACGAGCCTTCTGGGTGTTCCTTCTCCGGGCCAAATCACTGTTTCCAACCTATTTACTTCGGGCCTGCTTAGAGAGGGGACAAGACAACTTGAAACGTGAATCAACACATCTTTGTCCTCATGCCGCGTATTTTGGGAGCAGCCATGTTTTTGTTTCCAGTTTCCGCGAAAGAGCAGGGCAGGGAAAGCGTGGTGCATTGCTTTGCATGTGAGAATTTTTTGGTCCCAGGCACAGCTGAGCAATCAGTTGCATAGTCCGTACCATGGAGTCGAAACGCACCGTCGGGGTCTCGTCCATGCTGGCCATTGCCGGCTGTGGCCTGTCCTACCAGGCCTTTGTCCAGACGGCTGGTTCCAGCCACGGCGCCCCGACCCAGGCACTGCGAGGCAACGCCAGCCAGGCCACTCGCACAAACCTTTCTTCGGCTTCCGTCAGCGCTGCGGCGAGCATCACTGGTCTGGCGGTTCTCGGTGCCAGCCGTGCCAGGGGTGACAAGGTTCGGCGCTGCGCTGAGTTCAATGGAGCGGACATGCCAGGTGCCACTGCCCCCCTTGGCTGGTTCGACCCGCTGGGGCTCGGCAAGACGGAGGAGCGCTTCAACAAGATGCGAGCGGCAGAGCTGAAGCACGGAAGGGTTGCCATGATGGCCTCTCTGGGCTGCGTTGTTCAGCACTGGGCGAAGTTCCCCGGCTTCGAGAGCGCACCCGCTGGACTGGGCGCCCTCTCCAACCCAGCTGCTCTTGGTGGGATGGGCGCTCTCTTCCTTGGTTGCGGCGTGCTTGAGCTGGGATTCTGGTCCGACGAGGCGGCCAAGGAGCCTGGCAATTTCGGCGACCCGGCCAACTTCTCGGCAGAGTACGGGGCTTACTCCAAGGAGTTCAGGGACAAGGAGATCAACAACGGCCGCATGGCCATGATGGCGATCATCGGGCAGCTCTCCGCTGAGGCGTGTGTTTGGAGTCTGGCTGTGTTCCATGTCGATCCCCCCAACATTCCTGCATGTGCATGATGACATGATATGATGATGCGATATTCATGCATGTTTGCCTTCCTGATGCCTGCGTCGCCTGCAATGGCTTGCAAAACGCTTGCAGGCCGTGACCGGGATGGACGCTGCTCAGCAGGCCGGACTGGCCGCCGTTGCCCGGCCACGCCAGATTCAGAGCTCCAGCGCCTTTGTGGGTGCAGCATCCATTGCTCCCAAGCGCCTCACTGCCCGACGCGCCTTTGATGCCTCGCAGGAGGCTGGCGTGACGGCCCCGCTGGGCTACTTCGACCCGGCGGGATTCGTGCAGGATGAGGAGAGCTTTTTGAACCTTCGACGTGCTGAGATCAAACATGGGAGGGTTGCGATGATGGCGGCTTTGGGTTTGTTGGTCCAAAGCTTGATCAAGCTGCCCGGCTTCGACAGCGTCCCGGCTGGTCTGGGTGCCCAGTGGACGGCCCCGGGCGATGCGGGGCTTTGGACGGTGGTGGTCCTGTGCGGCTTCTTTGAGACGGGCTTGAACCAGTGGCGCGAGGACCCCAAGCAGCCAGGCAACTTTGGTGACCCCATGAACCTTGGCAACTACACCATGGAAATGCGCAACAAGGATGGCTGCGGGTTTGTCAGTTTGTTTGTGTTGTGAGTGCTGTGAGTAGGGAATGAAGGGTCCATATTAACGAGCATGTAGCTACGTGGCTGCGCAGCGAGCCAAAGATTCCATAGCAGCTGCTAGTACTTAGTTTTTTTCTTTGAGAGCTGATTCTGTTGGCATGCCCCCTTCAGAAACCAAATGTGTCGAAGTGGCCGCATGGGCCTTTTTCCCTGAGTCCCTGATGTAGGTTTTCACTCAAGTTAGTTGAATTCAGTGGTTTTGAAGGAGCTGAACAACGGGCGCATTGCAATGTTTGCCGTGATGGGAATCATCAGTGCGGAGATCTACACAGGCAATGTTGCAGTGGCACAGTTCTGAGTGATTTTTCCTAGTCTTCTAGCGTACTTGTATATGTACAGCCTGCGAATCGAGCGGATACGACGGCTTGTCAGTAGTTACAAGGTGTGAGAGGCATGTGGCACAAGTGCATTGTCTACCCACTTGTGCCGCTTTGTGCTGGTGTGCTGGTCCTGGGTTTCGCATGGCAGTGCATGTGAGAATTTTTTGGTCCCAGGCACAGCTGAGCAATCAGTTGCATAGTCCGTACCATGGAGTCGAAACGCACCGTCGGGGTCTCGTCCATGCTGGCCATTGCCGGCTGTGGCCTGTCCTACCAGGCCTTTGTCCAGACGGCTGGTTCCAGCCACGGCGCCCCGACCCAGGCACTGCGAGGCAACGCCAGCCAGGCCACTCGCACAAACCTTTCTTCGGCTTCCGTCAGCGCTGCGGCGAGCATCACTGGTCTGGCGGTTCTCGGTGCCAGCCGTGCCAGGGGTGACAAGGTTCGGCGCTGCGCTGAGTTCAATGGAGCGGACATGCCAGGTGCCACTGCCCCCCTTGGCTGGTTCGACCCGCTGGGGCTCGGCAAGACGGAGGAGCGCTTCAACAAGATGCGAGCGGCAGAGCTGAAGCACGGAAGGGTTGCCATGATGGCCTCTTTGGGCTGCGTTGTTCAGCACTGGGCGAAGTTCCCCGGCTTCGAGAGCGCACCCGCTGGACTGGGCGCCCTCTCCAACCCAGCTGCTCTTGGTGGGATGGGCGCTCTCTTCCTTGGTTGCGGCGTGCTTGAGCTGGGATTCTGGTCCGACGAGGCGGCCAAGGAGCCTGGCAATTTCGGCGACCCGGCCAACTTCTCGGCAGAGTACGGGGCTTACTCCAAGGAGTTCAGGGACAAGGAGATCAACAACGGCCGCATGGCCATGATGGCGATCATCGGGCAGCTCTCCGCTGAGGCGTGTGTTTGGAGTCTGGCTGTGTTCCATGTCGATCCCCCCAACATTCCTGCATGTGCATGATGACATGATATGATGATGCGATATTCATGCATGTTTGCCTTCCTGATGCCTGCGTCGCCTGCAATGGCTTGCAAAACGCTTGCAGGCCGTGACCGGGATGGACGCTGCTCAGCAGGCCGGACTGGCCGCCGTTGCCCGGCCACGCCAGATTCAGAGCTCCAGCGCCTTTGTGGGTGCAGCATCCATTGCTCCCAAGCGCCTCACTGCCCGACGCGCCTTTGATGCCTCGCAGGAGGCTGGCGTGACGGCCCCGCTGGGCTACTTCGACCCGGCGGGATTCGTGCAGGATGAGGAGAGCTTTTTGAACCTTCGACGTGCTGAGATCAAACATGGGAGGGTTGCGATGATGGCGGCTTTGGGTTTGTTGGTCCAAAGCTTGATCAAGCTGCCCGGCTTCGACAGCGTCCCGGCTGGTCTGGGTGCCCAGTGGACGGCCCCGGGCGATGCGGGGCTTTGGACGGTGGTGGTCCTGTGCGGCTTCTTTGAGACGGGCTTGAACCAGTGGCGCGAGGACCCCAAGCAGCCAGGCAACTTTGGTGACCCCATGAACCTTGGCAACTACACCATGGAAATGCGCAACAAGGATGGCTGCGGGTTTGTCAGTTTGTTTGTGTTGTGAGTGCTGTGAGTAGGGCATGAAGGGTCCATATTAACGAGCATGTAGCTACGTGGCTGCGCAGCGAGCCAAAGATTCCATAGCAGCTGCTAGTACTTAGTTTTTTTCTTTGAGAGCTGATTCTGTTGGCATGCCCCCTTCAGAAACCAAATGTGTCGAAGTGGCCGCATGGGCCTTTTTCCCTGAGTCCCTGATGTAGGTTTTCACTCAAGTTAGTTGAATTCAGTGGTTTTGAAGGAGCTGAACAACGGGCGCATTGCAATGTTTGCCGTGATGGGAATCATCAGTGCGGAGATCTACACAGGCAACGTTGCAGTGGCACAGTTCTGAGTGATTTTTCCTAGTCTTCTAGCGTACTTGTAAATGTACAGCCTGCGAATCGAGCGGATACGACGGCTTGTCAGTAGTTACAAGGTGTGAGAGGCATGTGGCGCAAGTGCATTGTCTACCCACTTGTGCCGCTTTGTGCTGGTGTGCTGGTCCTGGGTTTCGCATGGCAGTGCATGTGAGAATTTTTTGGTCCCAGGCACAGCTGAGCAATCAGTTGCATAGTCCGTACCATGGAGTCGAAACGCACCGTCGGGGTCTCGTCCATGCTGGCCATTGCCGGCTGTGGCCTGTCCTACCAGGCCTTTGTCCAGACGGCTGGTTCCAGCCACGGCGCCCCGACCCAGGCACTGCGAGGCAACGCCAGCCAGGCCACTCGCACAAACCTTTCTTCGGCTTCCGTCAGCGCTGCGGCGAGCATCACTGGTCTGGCGGTTCTCGGTGCCAGCCGTGCCAGGGGTGACAAGGTTCGGCGCTGCGCTGAGTTCAATGGAGCGGACATGCCAGGTGCCACTGCCCCCCTTGGCTGGTTCGACCCGCTGGGGCTCGGCAAGACGGAGGAGCGCTTCAACAAGATGCGAGCGGCAGAGCTGAAGCACGGAAGGGTTGCCATGATGGCCTCTCTGGGCTGCGTTGTTCAGCACTGGGCGAAGTTCCCCGGCTTCGAGAGCGCACCCGCTGGACTGGGCGCCCTCTCCAACCCAGCTGCTCTTGGTGGGATGGGCGCTCTCTTCCTTGGTTGCGGCGTGCTTGAGCTGGGATTCTGGTCCGACGAGGCGGCCAAGGAGCCTGGCAATTTCGGCGACCCGGCCAACTTCTCGGCAGAGTACGGGGCTTACTCCAAGGAGTTCAGGGACAAGGAGATCAACAACGGCCGCATGGCCATGATGGCGATCATCGGGCAGCTCTCCGCTGAGGCGTGTGTTTGGAGTCTGGCTGTGTTCCATGTCGATCCCCCCAACATTCCTGCATGTGCATGATGACATGATATGATGATGCGATATTCATGCATGTTTGCCTTCCTGATGCCTGCGTCGCCTGCAATGGCTTGCAAAACGCTTGCAGGCCGTGACCGGGATGGACGCTGCTCAGCAGGCCGGACTGGCCGCCGTTGCCCGGCCACGCCAGATTCAGAGCTCCAGCGCCTTTGTGGGTGCAGCATCCATTGCTCCCAAGCGCCTCACTGCCCGACGCGCCTTTGATGCCTCGCAGGAGGCTGGCGTGACGGCCCCGCTGGGCTACTTCGACCCGGCGGGATTCGTGCAGGATGAGGAGAGCTTTTTGAACCTTCGACGTGCTGAGATCAAACATGGGAGGGTTGCGATGATGGCGGCTTTGGGTTTGTTGGTCCAAAGCTTGATCAAGCTGCCCGGCTTCGACAGCGTCCCGGCTGGTCTGGGTGCCCAGTGGACGGCCCCGGGCGATGCGGGGCTTTGGACGGTGGTGGTCCTGTGCGGCTTCTTTGAGACGGGCTTGAACCAGTGGCGCGAGGACCCCAAGCAGCCAGGCAACTTTGGTGACCCCATGAACCTTGGCAACTACACCATGGAAATGCGCAACAAGGATGGCTGCGGGTTTGTCAGTTTGTTTGTGTTGTGAGTGCTGTGAGTAGGGCATGAAGGGTCCATATTAACGAGCATGTAGCTACGTGGCTGCGCAGCGGGCCGAAGATTCCATAGCAGCTGCTAGTACTTAGTTTTTTTTTCTTTGAGAGCTGATTCTGTTGGCATGCCCCCTTCAGAAACCAAATGTGTCGAAGTGGCCGCATGGGCCTTTTTCCCTGAGTCCCTGGTGTAGGTTTTCACTCAAGTTAGTTGAATTCAGTGGTTTTGAAGGAGCTGAACAACGGGCGCATTGCAATGTTTGCCGTGATGGGAATCATCAGTGCAGAGATCTACACAGGCAACGTTGCAGTGGCGCAGTTCTGAGTGATTTTTTCTAGTCTTCTAGCGTACTTGTAAATGTACAGCCTGCGAATCGAGCGGATACGACGGCTTGTCAGTAGTTACAAGGTGTGAGAGGCATGTGGCGCAAGTGCATTGTCTACCCACTTGTGCCGCTTTGTGCTGGTGTGTTGGTCCTGGGTTTCGCATGGCAGTGCATGTGAGAATTTTTTGGTCCCAGGCACAGCTGAGCAATCAGTTGCATAGTCCGTACCATGGAGTCGAAACGCACCGTCGGGGTCTCGTCCATGCTGGCCATTGCCGGCTGTGGCCTGTCCTACCAGGCCTTTGTCCAGACGGCTGGTTCCAGCCACGGCGCCCCGACCCAGGCACTGCGAGGCAACGCCAGCCAGGCCACTCGCACAAACCTTTCTTCGGCTTCCGTCAGCGCTGCGGCGAGCATCACTGGTCTGGCGGTTCTCGGTGCCAGCCGTGCCAGGGGTGACAAGGTTCGGCGCTGCGCTGAGTTCAATGGAGCGGACATGCCAGGTGCCACTGCCCCCCTTGGCTGGTTCGACCCGCTGGGGCTCGGCAAGACGGAGGAGCGCTTCAACAAGATGCGAGCGGCAGAGCTGAAGCACGGAAGGGTTGCCATGATGGCCTCTCTGGGCTGCGTTGTTCAGCACTGGGCGAAGTTCCCCGGCTTCGAGAGCGCACCCGCTGGACTGGGCGCCCTCTCCAACCCAGCTGCTCTTGGTGGGATGGGCGCTCTCTTCCTTGGTTGCGGCGTGCTTGAGCTGGGATTCTGGTCCGACGAGGCGGCCAAGGAGCCTGGCAATTTCGGCGACCCGGCCAACTTCTCGGCAGAGTACGGGGCTTACTCCAAGGAGTTCAGGGACAAGGAGATCAACAACGGCCGCATGGCCATGATGGCGATCATCGGGCAGCTCTCCGCTGAGGCGTGTGTTTGGAGTCTGGCTGTGTTCCATGTCGATCCCCCCAACATTCCTGCATGTGCATGATGACATGATATGATGATGCGATATTCATGCATGTTTGCCTTCCTGATGCCTGCGTCGCCTGCAATGGCTTGCAAAACGCTTGCAGGCCGTGACCGGGATGGACGCTGCTCAGCAGGCCGGACTGGCCGCCGTTGCCCGGCCACGCCAGATTCAGAGCTCCAGCGCCTTTGTGGGTGCAGCATCCATTGCTCCCAAGCGCCTCACTGCCCGACGCGCCTTTGATGCCTCGCAGGAGGCTGGCGTGACGGCCCCGCTGGGCTACTTCGACCCGGCGGGATTCGTGCAGGATGAGGAGAGCTTTTTGAACCTTCGACGTGCTGAGATCAAACATGGGAGGGTTGCGATGATGGCGGCTTTGGGTTTGTTGGTCCAAAGCTTGATCAAGCTGCCCGGCTTCGACAGCGTCCCGGCTGGTCTGGGTGCCCAGTGGACGGCCCCGGGCGATGCGGGGCTTTGGACGGTGGTGGTCCTGTGCGGCTTCTTTGAGACGGGCTTGAACCAGTGGCGCGAGGACCCCAAGCAGCCAGGCAACTTTGGTGACCCCATGAACCTTGGCAACTACACCATGGAAATGCGCAACAAGGATGGCTGCGGGTTTGTCAGTTTGTTTGTGTTGTGAGTGCTGTGAGTAGGGCATGAAGGGTCCATATTAACGAGCATGTAGCTACGTGGCTGCGCAGCGGGCCAAAGATTCCATAGCAGCTGCTAGTACTTAGTTTTTTTCTTTGAGAGCTGATTCTGTTGGCATGCCCCCTTCAGAAACCAAATGTGTCGAAGTGGCCGCATGGGCCTTTTTCCCTGAGTCCCTGATGTAGGTTTTCACTCAAGTTAGTTGAATTCAGTGGTTTTGAAGGAGCTGAACAACGGGCGCATTGCAATGTTTGCCGTGATGGGAATCATCAGTGCGGAGATCTACACAGGCAACGTTGCAGTGGCACAGTTCTAAAGCATGTGCTTTCCGAGGCCAATTTGCCGGCACACGAGTTTGGTAGCACACCCGCTTGATTAGTGGAAGTCGGTGGTTCTCACTTGAGCAGTGGCCAAAACCACCATCAGCCAACTCTGTAAAGGGTTCTGATCTGCTGGTTTGGTTGGGGGTAAAGTGAAGCTCTATATAAGCCTTTTGTCCTTGAGGGCACAATCAACAATTAATGGGTTTTGGGAGCTGCTCATTTGGGACGCTGATTCTTTTTCCTTGCCAGACACGAACCATCTTCCGGAGGCATGCGCGGTGAAAGAATGCCTGCACTGCTGAGGGCTGCGTCGAGGCGTTGTTGCCAAATACTTTTGGGAGGATTTGTGGCTGCTGTGCTGATCCGATCTGCCTCTCAGCTCACATGCGCTCAGTGCGGACGCTGACGGGCTATGGACTTGTTTTCCGGTGACCGCATACTTGGAACACACCCGTCATGCCGTTAACGCTGATGCAACAGATCAATGCGCTTTATCCGGAATTTGTTTTGACAATGTGAGTTCAGAACATGCCGTGCGGCAGTGGTGTTTTCCGAAGACTTCAACACTCGGCCTGCCAGCAACAACGTAGTTTATCGTTTTCCCTTGAAAAGGTTGGCGAACCTCCCACTAGCATAGCATTTGTTGGAGGCTACCCGGAAGATCAGTTTTCTGTTGGGGGGTCAGAAATGGGTACCCATAATGGCTTGCCCTGGTCAATGGCAAAAGGACGATTTCACCTGTGATCCACATCCTGGTGGTCTAATTGTTTGACCCATCTCTGGGGTAGACTTAGGATACATTTTACCAGTGACTCAAAGGGAAGCAAACAGTAGAATTCTATAACTGGGCCTATGTCTAATCATAGCTCATGCCAAAGTACTTGTAATATTTGCTTGGGATGTGCGTAAAAAGCATCAAGCAAGCTTGCTGAGGGGAATCCTGAGCAAAAATATTTGTCCGGCTTCGCCGGCGGGAGCTCGCAGCGCCTGGTCCTTGCCATGGCGCCATGCTCGCCAGCGTTCTAGGGCGCCACGGCGTGCCGAGCCAGGACTAAAGGACAAAACCAATGGTACCATTTCCCACTAAATGTCCCAAACTCAAGGCCTGTCCTTTCCAGTAAGATAGTTTGGCCATGGTTCAAAACCCTTTGCTGGATGAAGGTTGCGGCCGCTTTCTTAATTCTTTACATCTTCTGGGTCGACCATTCTTAGTACCGGGTTTTGATTGTGACTCATCTGGGCCAAAAAATGAGTTCGCCAGGATAAATGGTCCTTGGTCCCAGAAAACCAGGGCAACCCATGTTGAGGGTATCCCTTTTTTGACCCACCCATTTCTCGCTTGAGTTTTGTTTCGGACTTGAAGTCTTTTTGGGGAATGTCATTTTCGTGGGAACATATTGATCTTTCGGTACATCCACGCAGGAAGTGAGATTTGGGTGCGGGAGTTGACGATCTCGCTCTCTTTCGCATCCCACTTCGGCTAGGAACCATAGAAGGTGTGGCCACCCATTCAAATAACATGAGCCACAATCAAAACGCTTTGGTAGATGAAGGTTAGTAAGGGCCAGTCCCAGTCATAAATAGCTTCGGATATCCGCCTTCTTAGTTCTTTACATGGTGGGTCGACCATTATTGGAGTGGGTTTTGAGCAAGTGACTCACATTTTGGGAGACTTGTGAAATACCAGCTTGCCATGACTCAGAATGGCGCCTTGACTCCACAGCGCATCTCCAATGTGGTCATCGTGGACCTTTTTTTTTGGGGCATAAATGCAGAGTATACGGTTCAGCCGCAGCTTGGGAATCAGAATCAGTTGCAATATGCTTTCAAAACAAGCAGATGATTCCTAGACAAGACACGATCTCCTTGACATGAAAGAGGATTCTGACCAGTTGATGTGGGCTTCGTCAATTCAGTCGCGAATTTTAGGAGACCCACTAAATGTCCCACACAAACCCAAGGCCTGTCCTTTCCAGTAAGATAGTTTGACTGCGGCTTATGTGGGCCTTGCACTTTCTCGCCAGGACCCCTGGCTCCACAGCGACCCCTGGAGCGCGGCCGGGAATGTCTTGGCAGGCGAGCTGGGAGAAAGACGGGAGCGCAATCACCTTCAGCCCAGCTGACTTCGTTTTCTTTGTGGAGTGACTCAGTTGTTTGAATAGCCGAGCTTTTCTGACCTTTTGGTTTTCCAATTTTGGTCCATATTTAGTCATGGCCCCAAAAGGTTAACCTTTTAGTTCCAAGTCCCTAAGGGGCAACTGAACCGCGCCTGGGATCTTGTTTGGCTAGCGAGAAGGGAGTCTTTTTCGGCTAACCCGGTCCTTGGGAACTGGAAGTTCTTTGTGCAAGGGCTACCCGCATGCCATGCTGAACTTCCGGCTCACCAAACGTCTTTGGGCTGGGCGGAGAAAAGGAGCACATTCCTGGAGGCCGCAGGAAGTCGGGAAGGCAAAAATTCGACATCCCAAGTGGCCGATAGGACCGCAGAGGCCGTCTCCTGAGCTGTTCCGTTTCGCCGTATCTATTTCCAGGTACTTCGGTTTTCGCCTGCCGATCTAAATGACACGCAGAACCCAAGCAGCCGAAACCGAAGGGCGCTTCCTTGGTTCGCGTGTCGGCAGCTGAACCACCGGGCTGCACCTCGTGAAGTAAACCTTCAAGTGTTCTCCAAGAATGGCAGATGGTAGACCTATATTGTAGACCACATGAACCACTTACCGGGTCCCTGTTGCTTTCTCGACCCGCCACGCGCTTGTGTAATCAATCTGATGGAATTTAAGAACACATGTCTGCATATCCCATGGAATGCTTTTTGTTGACAGTCTTGACTTTGACACTTGTTGTAGCCTTTAGGCATCTCTCTGAACCGCAGAGCAAGCCACTAAACCTCATGAATCACACAGTCTTGGAGATAGCATCGCTTTTTTTGAACGCAGGAGCTGAGTCTCAGGTTGAGATCATTTCGGATTTCGAATGAACACAGCTAATCACACCGGAGCGAACATATGCCTGGATCGCAGGCTTGCAGTCTTGTAGCTTTCCCGCACTCGGGAGCGCCTCTTGCCGGTTCGACACCCCCCTTGTGATGTTTTAGTTATCCCAAAATTTGCTGGTGCTATGGTAAGGAAGGACAAGGAGTCCGGGTGTTGGTTGAATGAACCGGGGGTTTTGGGGATTTCCTCACCCAAGGAAACCGCCAGTTGGATTGTTTTGCTCTGATGGAACTCCATTTCTCATTGCCTGAGCCCCTCAGGTACCCTTGCACTTGGATTGGTGGTTTGGGTTTGTGGTTGGGGATTTGAACCCCTGGCTTTTGAGGGTTTTTTGGGCCACCCCTTCTTGCCCATGAAGAAACCACCGGGCTCCAAACCAATGTGAGGGAAGCTTCACATGGACACTTCAGTGGTACAATCCAAGCCAAGTCGAAGGAACCTGACCAGCAAGGAAAAGCTGGGGCAGACTTAGGATACATTTTACATTTTACCAGTGGCTCAAGCAAACAATAAGATATACGTTCTATAACTTGGGCCTAACTCTACTCATGATTATCCAAGTAGGTCAAGGTAGCTGGAAAATAAGGGCAGGGCATCTAGGTCAGCCCACCAGGTCCTGTGAAACCGGAAGGCACGGCTTGGGGCCAATTTTCCAGGCTCAAGAATTTCCAGGTCCTTGGTGCGATAGGCCCGATAGGCCCGACAGGGAAGGGAAGGGAAGCCCCAGGCCAAGGGCTCCAAAACGCCAAGTCGCCCCGAGCCAAGAGCTCCAAAGCGCGAGGCTCCGAGGAGCTGCCGGGCCTGGAGCAGTGGCTCAGCCGCTTGCGCCTGGAGGCGGTTGCTTTCGTTTTCGATGGGTTCCGGGAAAAAAAGGGGCTGCGGCTGGCAGGGTGTTTCGAAGGGGGTGTCTCTTGTGGCGGCCATGCGTTTTTTTTTTGGCCGTTGTGTCAGAGGGACGCGGAATCCAACACCATCATCTTTGGGGGTTTTCTGCTTCACATGTGCCAAGACTAGTACTCGAGATGAATTGCCTCATTTGAACAGGGAAACAGCAAGAGACCAAACTTTTAGAGGGGTCAATTGATTCTCAACGCATCGCTGCTTGCACGCCTTGCTTTCCCAATTGCGGCCGCCAGATCTGCAGGACAAGCTGCCTTACCCCTCACCTGCTTCCAAGCCAGGGACCAGTGTTTGGCGAAGGCAAGTGACTACATACCGGCTTGCTTCTCTGATGCTGCCAGTCAGTTAAGACGTGAGCAAAAACATTCATTCATACAGCTGCAAATGTAAGTATTTGTAGTCACACATGTTTGTCTATTTTCAATCATGTAGATTTACACACACACACACAGCAAGGAAAGATCCTCTACTCAGGGATGCATTTGCTGATTTGACTCTCCGCGGGAGGGCCAGAACAAAGGCTGTCCATGTGAAGTCAACAATGGTTCCTTGCGGATCAACCGATGGCCCACAGCGAGCTTGCACGGAATAGTGAATCATTTGTCACAGAAGGCGCACCAAGGAGACAAGGCACCTTATTTTTCTGATTTGTGCTCATGGGGGCCACTGTTGAGGGCTTTCGGCTTGCCTTCTCAGGCACGCCAAAGGGAAACCACCGTGTTTTCCGAGTTTCCCTTGGCTTGAGGAGGGCTCCGCTGAAAAGATACAAGAGCAGGACCCCAGCATGAGGGTAGCCTCCCCAAACATCGGAAGCGACTTGGTTCCGTCAGGATCGGCCCATTGGGGGAGCTTCCGGCTGTTAGTGTCAGGATTTTGAGTGTACCGCTTGGGACAATCTAATCACCCCCTACGTAGCTGCCCTTTTTGGTTGTTGTGGTCGAAAAATAGATGGCCCTGGTATTTTCCTGCTGGTTTAATCATCTACCAGGGCCATCTATTTGCTCCAAAAGGACACCTATGACCCCCCACGTAGCCAGGCTCAAATCGTGAGTCGCAAGGCCCATGGGGATGCCATCCGGAGCTGGGCGGCCGAGATGGGCGCGGTGTCGCTGGAGGCGTCCCATCCTTGTTGGATCCCTGTTGACGGGCAGAACAAGACCGAACACCTTATGTGGCCAAGCAGAAGCAACGTACATTGGATGTCATATGGGTGTGGGTCAAGAATAAGTACCCAAAATGAAACCCAGGTAAATGGAAGCAAGGACTCAAACCTGCGGTTTTGTGATGGATGATTTTTGACCAATACCCACATGTTCCCAGCTTAGCAAATCCTGTTTCACAGCCCCCCCTGGTTTCTCTTTACCAACCCAGAACCTATCCGCACCCCTCACCGAGACACATTTCTGCTTTGGGGTTCTAGTCCGGGGAAATCTTCGAACGCGCGCCTCAAGAGGAGTGTGCCGCAGGAGCTGGCGGAGCATTGGGCGGAGCTGTCGGCAGACTTGGGCCTGCGGCCCCTGGAGAGGCGGAGGCGGGTCTCCCCCCAGTCCTTTGCAGCATACCCTCCACCCCAGACTAACATGGAAGCTCCCAGGACTCCTTTGTAAATGGTGGTTTCCCTTTATTTTGGTGGAATTAGCCATGTTTCAACTGGTTGCAAAATGTATCTTTTGAGGAGCCCTGCTGTCCCAGCCAGGAAGGTTCCGGAAAACCCTTCTGCAAAGGTCCGTATACTCCCTCAGACTAACATGGAAGCTTCCAGAAGGCCTCAGTAAATGGAACCAAGTCTTCCAGGTGTATCATGTAAGGATCCCTGGAAAGTTGCCTTTGGTTGACATCGCGATGAATAGGATTTCCGCACGCGTGAAGTGTGCACTCGCAGAAAAGGCTGCTGCCTTGTAGAGATCCCATTCAGCAATGCACAGCGCGATTGCACAGCAATCTGAGCAGGCGGAAAGTGAGACGGTCATTATGTCATTATCACCATGTGTGACAATCCTGTCGGGGCCACATTCAGCTACCCCATGAGGGTATTGGACACCAAAAGAAAGGTGCCTTAGATCAGTTTCAAGCGGACACCCGACAGGTGGGATGGAGTCTGCATTGGATGGCGAGCACACGAGCGAAAGCCATGTTAAAGGATCCTCTAGGTCCCTTCAAAGATGCTTTTGATCTCTTTTTCGTATGTCAGGATTTGGACGTATTGCAGAATTTGCAGTTCAATAAAATTTTGCCGCCAGGTTGGAGCGCAATGGCCTGGCCGAAGCTGCGCAGGCCGAAAGATCAAAGCAGTTGGCGAGCAGTGGGCAAAAGGCATAGGTGTCCTTTTTAGGTTAGTGTGGTCAAAAATAGAAGGCACTGGTTTAGATGGGTTTTATTCCAGTCCGCTTTCCTCGACGTTTGATTGCTCCAGTGTCAATTCCTGGGTCGGTACCTGCTTCCCAATCAAGCAGGGATTGTGGATGGGCATTTTCGGGTTGACCCTTTCTTTATGGACACGAATACTGGCTTCCCCGTAGTTGCGGTTTTAGCCTGCCCTGAGCCGTCAATGATGCTTAACCACCTCAATTTCCACCCATTTGACCGCCGTTCCCGAGGATAATACAACAGTTTTGGAAACTACCAGGGTATAACATCTCGACCCCCCCTGTGTGCCAAAAGGCGACCTGACTGCAAACTTCACTAGCAGGTTGACCGCGTGCTTGCAATCCCAGAACATGCTTCATGAAGTGTCACACACGTTTGGCGCTTCGGATTCTGACCAGTACTTGCGTTACACGTTGTCAGGCGGCAACATCGAAATTCGCGCGGACGCAACCAGGAAAAAGCCTCAAAAGTTTACCCCTGCGTGCCTATGTGCGACCATGGACGTTGTTCCTCAACGCGCCTTGTCGTTTGCAACATAGTTTGCAACATGTGTGTCTTAGCCGCTTGATTGACTGGCGCAACGCTGCTTCACCTGGGTTTAGCTGCAAGCATTTTTGGCACATGTTGTTCAGCCACACCCATGTGCGACCATGGCTTCACCTGCTCGCCCGTCGATTAGCGATTATCGCACAGGTGGAGCAGGCCGGCCTGGCGGACCGAGCGGAAGGCAGGGACGAACCGATTTTCCGCCCCCCGAAAAAGGGGAGCGCCACACTTCCTGAGAAGTGTTCTTCGGTGTCATGGTTGCTTCTTTGGCTTGCAGGGAGTTCATGGAATGTATTTTTTTTGTCCTGAAAAACGCTGAAAGCTCGTTTGAGGCGTGTGCGCGATGCAAGTAGCAACCCTTTCGCAGGGCTACAATCAAGCGCTATGCTTCCGCAACAGAAGCACGCTTTGTTTCAGCCACGGCGCGCCGGGCTTTTTTTGTTGATTTTGTGTCTGTGCCTTTCAAGATCTTCTGCAGAGATTCGACAAGCGCAGCAGGGCCGTTGCATGGTGGTTGCTTTGCTCATTGCTCATTGTGTGCTAAGATTCCAAAGTCGCTCCCCCAGACCATTCCATGGACGCTGGGACCTCTTGGAAGACTTGGTTCCAGTTGCAGAGGCCTTCTGGGAACTTGGAGCTTCCGGCTGTTTGTCTGAGGGACCCGGTGGTTTCGGTTTGGCTTCAAAGGCCTCGGTGTCCTTTGCGCCGGGGCTGGAGTTGAGAGATGGGCTTTGGGACCCGAGGCGCCCGGAAGATCACCGCCAAGGCGGCAAGGGATGGATCCCTTCCGGGTATGAAGGTTGGCAAGGGACAAACCCGGATTAACAAACCCCTGGTTGATTGATAGGGGGGTGTCCCTTTTCAGTGGGGATTCAGACCACTTTTGGAGGGAACACCCCCCTAATAATGGGGCGGGTTTATGAATCCTGGGTCAACATTAAGGGACAGGCCCCTTGCCGTAGCTGCAGAGCGTAATTCTTTAGATGGAGTTCTGGGTACACCATTTTAGATGCGGGTTTTGATTATGACTCAGGATTTGTTTGAAGATGAAAGTATCACTCGCGGTTCGACCATCAGATGGCTGGGCGGCTTGGTATTTGCCTAAAAAGCGCCGTGCTTTGTGCTTGGATGAGAAGAACTCTAGATGCTTTGGGTTCACTAAGAATCCATTGCAAGGGCCAGCAGCCATGGCCCCTAGCAGTCCACTTCAGAAGTGACATTGCAAAGCCTAGCATAAACGCTCTTAGTTCCAGGCAATTGAAGAAAGTTGGCATCAGATGTCCTTTGCTGGATTCTCAGAGGGCTTATTCCCATCGCGCGCGCCATCTTGTCTTGTGTGGTTATCGGATTCATTGCGCAGAAGATGATGTCATGCCAGCACAGTTGAGTCGAGTTTGGTTGCAGCCTTTTTGCACGCGTACCATGCAGGCTATGCAGGCCATATCGTTGAATTCAAGGAAGGCCATTCACCGCACTAAAGAACCACAGCGAGCATCAGAAAGCCAACTTCCCTTCCAAGGTTGTCTTGTCTCCTCACCTTTGCAGGCGAAGGTGCCAGACAGGCAGGCCAGGGTGGCAGCTAGAGGCCGGCCAGGGGAGCGGTCCGAGACGTTCTGCGATGGACCAGGGGGATTTGGCACGTAGGAAGGTTGCACGGCAAATGTGGCTGTGGCTCTGTACCCAAATGGCCCCCTTGGTAAATGGAACCAAAGACTACAACCTGCCTAGCTCTTGAATTTTGAGCTGCGCCCATGTGGCTTCTGAGATGGAACATGTTCAAGAAAGCTTGTGCGATGTTTGGATGTCGGGCATTCTCGTCATGCGGGATGAGTCTTTTCAATGGCCGCGATCACTAGGAGTGACTTAAAAGTTGGACTTATGCACTGTATGAAATGAAAGGATTGTGAGGTGTGGCTTAGATTCGAGTTCTGTACGTGGAACAGGGCGCAAAGTTTGGGGTCATTGGCGTTCCGTTTGAAGCCGAGATGGCGAGCTTGCTTCTAAGTCATCTTTAGGTCGTACCGCCGGTTTTTCCACTAGCGCACGTGGCTCTCGCCTGCGCAGCTTTGCAGGTCCGGCTGAGGCTGGGTGGCCTGGGCAGCTCGTCGCGTTTGAAGGTGACCATTGATGGAATGAGCTGATGTGGCTGTGGTTCAAAACCAATGGTACCATTTTATTGGGGGATTGGGGGTTCACTGGGGGTACGGGATTTTGACCCATGGCCAAGTGCTCCACGGCACTTGCCGAAAGCAACACTGGCCATCTTGCCGTCAAGAGGTCAGGGAAGACCGTGTGCCAGGGAGCCTGGGAGCGCCTGCGATTTTTCTGGGATTTGGTCGTTCGACACGTTTCTGTGCCCATCATGGCCATGGGACAGGGTGCATCGCAAGGGCGAGATGGGTTTGAAGCCAAGGAGACAGAAGGCAACTTGCACTCAAGGGAGGCAGGAAATGGTATGTTGCGCACACGTACGTGTTGGAAGAGGAAGGGGGGCCCTATTTTTTTGTCAACATCTGCCAGAGAGAGGTTCCAGCTTTTTGATCCGAAGAACGGAGGCTCCCAAATTTTGCTTTGGCCAAACTTGGACCTTTTGCACCGCATCCGCCAAATTTTAGGTTAACAGGTTTGGCACAAGATTGGAAGGCGTTGCGAGCGTGCGACCCATTTAAAACAGTTGCCAAGAATTGACAGTTCATTTGGGAGAACAACTTGGCAGACCACCACCCAGCTTGCGCACACACTTTTCGGGGCGTGGGGGGGGGAACTGTTTGATTTTCTTTGTGTCCATGTTGCTGTCCTGAAGCCTGAGAGATCGTGCGGTTTCGGAAGAAACATTTTAGGCTCCAGGCTTGAATCAAGTCCCGTGGATGGACGGCGGGACAAAAGCTCAGGAGACCGTCGATCAAAAGCCGTCGCCTTGAGGGTTTTGCGTGGAATCGAGAAAAGATACACCAGCTGCTAACCGCGTCTTATCCCTGAACGACAACTCGCGGATGAACCACAGATTGCTGAGCTACCACACAATCCAACAAGAAGCACAACATGCGCCCAAGCACCTTCTTTTGATTCAGGACTTGCTGCGGGGCCGCATGACTTTGTGAAGATCGGTAGCTCCACAAGTCGTAGCTCGGCCCATGCTTCAAGCCTGAGCCCTGCATGAAATCTCCACTTGGAGCAAAGGACACTTTTTGCGCCCGTCTGGGTCCCAGCGCTCGGTCCGTGTGACAAGCGCTTGTCAAGGAGGCGCCTCGGGCGGCGCGTGAAGGCCCAGCCTTGCTGATGACATCAGCCAACGCCTCAGCTGTCACTCGCACGAGGGCCGTTTTATTTTATTTTTTCTTCACGCGAAGGAGTGACGACTGCGGGCCTAAATTTCTTTAGGGCTTTATTACTGAAAGCCACCAAACAGCAAGCCAAGCATTTGAAGGGGTACCGGGTGCTGACTCCCATGTTTGCTTTGCAGTTGGCGGTTGGGTATTTTTGCGTTTGGGGCATTTCCTTTTGGACGTATGTGCGGTTCCGGGCTTCCATGAGCTCCGGTCGCAGGGAAGGAACTGCATCCCGTTGGTACGCGGCATCTCAAGTCAAATCTCAACACTTGCCCTGTCGACCGCTCGCCGAGGCCAGCATTGCGATGCGCAGCTCCCCTGGACAAGGGGATGCTTTTAGATTAGGGCGACTCGGCATGGGCGGTTCCCACAACTTCACAGCCGTTTCTTTTGGGGATGGTGAGCGTGTTGGTAGTTCGCCCACGTGTTTGGGCTTCTTCTTCTTCTTTGCATTTCCTTACCGTGTTTTCGTCATGCTGTCCAGAAGGATGTTTTCGGTGCTTCTACGGTGCTCCGCTTGTCCCTTTGGTCTCCGGATTTCATGCCCCCCCCTTCCCAGGTTTCCACTGCGTTTCGGGGTTTGCATTCAGATTGAGTGCTAGGGCCCGGCTAGCAGAGAGCTGTTTGAGCTTCGATCAAGCGGAGGGCTTTGAAGATGCGCCCAAGGCAGCAACTGGGGGCCCCTCGTCGTTTTGCCTTGGATGTTGCTGCCAACTGAGCTGATGTGCGCGGGGCATCAGGCATCTGGCAGGAAAGCTCTCGCTGGATCCATCTGCTCGCTACGGCGGCAGCCAAAGCTGGGAGCCCGAGGGGATTCGGGCTGACCGAGGCTGGGAAAAGGAGGGGCTGTTTGTTGACTTGTTTATTAAGGCACCCATAGTGAGTTCCTTGAAATCCCTATTTTGGTGCTCAGGTGGACGTTTTCTCTTTCCTTGTGTGTACAAAGTGGGAAGCATGCTTGAGACCGCAGCCCTCCAAATGGTTTATTTCCCCGCTTAAAGGGGACACGCCACCTTTGATGAATCTGGTCGAGTCTATTGTGAGACACCAAATTGTTCTGGTTTTGATGTCCCCAGCCATTTGCCGGAGGCAGCAGAACGAGCACTGCAGAGTCGAACGCGAGCCACGTCTCGCCTTCCAGCACTACATCCAGCCTTGATGCAGCTCTGGAAGAGTTAGCACCCCAGAAGCAAGGGAGGTGTTGCCCGATGACCGTTTTTGTTTTCTTCTTTTTTTGTTTTTGTTTTTTTTTCCCCTCCTTTTGTTTGTGGTTTTCCTTTGAGAAAGGCACCAGAGGATATGGCCTTCTCCCCTGGAAGATCGGTGTAGTTGCGCTGAAACTCCAGCTGTTTCTGGTTGGGAAGCGGGCCGAAACTTTGTCTCGCGGAGTGGCCTGGGGCTCAACTCCCGCGGGGTCCGCGCATGTAAGTTGGAAAGTAGCACGGCAAGAATCAAGCCGCACTGGAAGTACACTTCGCAGGTCCGAAAGGATCACTCGCGGCGGAAGGCTGCCGTGTTGGGGTCAGCGCAGAATGCAAAGAACCCGCTCAGAACTTGAGAGAAACTTTCTCAGACAACTTGAGAGAGAAACTTGCTCAGCCACACTTGCTCAGCCACACTTGCTCAGCCACTCTTGCTCAGAAAATCCTGCTCATAAGACTTGCGCAGAGCCACTTGCACAAAGAACTTGCTCAGCGAGCTTGCTCAGACATTCTTGCTCAGAGAGCTTGCTCAGAGAAACGTGCGCAGAGAGCGGGAATTTCGCTGAGGAACTGCTCGGAAAACTGGTTCAGAGGACTTTGCGCAGAGCCGCTCGCCAGAGAACTTGCTCAGAAAAGCTTTGCTTACAGAACTTGCGAGAGCAGAATCAGGCTTTGCCACGTCTTCTACTTTCAAACCCCAAAGCAAATGCTGGTGGCTTGTGTTGGGTGCGTATAGGGCAGGCAACTCCAACCGCAAGGTCCCGAGCTCCAACTCTTGGGTGAACGTTCGAGCTGCCCCGAATGTGTCGTTTCAGTGATACCCCCTTTCATAAGCTGCACGGGTTTTCGCAGGAACTCTCGTTAAGACGCTGAGGGGTTATGAATTAGTGTCCTTGCTCGCGCATACGCTAGGGCAGACATTGGATGTGCGTATGTGCGTTCTCTCGACTGATCGTGGACCAATTGGCAGGGAGCTACTTGAACTGGGTGCTTCTCTTCGATTCTTGAGAAGCTGACATGGTGAGCTGCAGAGAGCGGCGCTTGCGGGACAAGGGCCAGTGCGGAGTGATACGCTGCGTGCACCATACTTCTGTCTCTGGCGTGAGTTTGCCATTTCCACGGCCCCTCATGGCTCAACCCTTCAACGCTATACACCTTGCTGAGTTGGGAGCCATCTTGCACTTGACGAGAAGGACGCATCGGGAACCTGGTCACCATTGAAGACAGTATGCAGGTTCAAGGCTTTTGTTTGAGGTGCATATGTGGTCAAACTGGTCGCATCTAGATTCAAGGCCTCTGTTTGCCGCACCAAGCACCAGGCATTGGTTTCCGAGTCCAGTGAGCCTCAAAACCCGGGTAGATGGAGCTTAAGGGATACTCCCAGCTCTAAATAGCTGCGGATATCCGCCTTCTTAATTCTAGCATGCTTCTGGGGATCGACCATTTTGATGTCGGGTTTTGAGCAAGTGACTCACATGGAAGTTGGTCAAAAGGTCCTTATGCCAATGGGATGACCATTGGCGAGAGCAAAGATGTTGCTTGCACAAAACGGGGGCTGAGTTACCCATGGGGGGGTGGGGGGTCAGGACAGATCGTGACTTGCGCTAAGGAGGAGCTGGAGGCCAGCATAGAGGCGGTGAGCGATGAGGTCTACAAATGGAGGCCGCGGCGTCCGCCGGCTTTCGGGGATGGCTTCGGGGCCGGAGGGCCGCGCCAGATGGCTCCAGGTTTCGACTTTCGCCATGGGCCATTTTGGGCAATCTGTTTGGGGGCCTCCTGTTTGCTCAATTTTGACGCAATATTTCGTGCTGGTTTTATATCTCTTCTTTTTTTGTGGCCTAGAAATTGCAATGTTGTCAAGTTCGCTCTTGACATTGGCCGCAGTTTTTTTCGCGCTGAGGCAGGATGCCATCAGGATTCTTGTTCACACTAGAACAAGAAACCCAATCCACTTCTATGCCTGCGATACACTGGCCAGTGACATGCTGAAGGTTGGCAGTTGCATGCTGCGAGGCAGCCCCAGATGCTTTTTAAGAGAGTATGTTCTTGCTGGTCCATTGGGTGATTGGGTTGGCATGAACCTGAAGAGTTCGCCAAACAAAAACCGTTTCAGTTGATTGTCGCGGGGGTGTGCCATTCCGAAGGAACTGCCAAAGGAACCGCCTGTTTGAGGATCAGTCCAGATTGCGGTTGCGCGGTTTTAGCGGCCTGTTTTGCTTGTTTGGAGCTTCTCAGGATTGGCCAGAGGTGGCTGGCAAGTGCTGAAAGTTTGATCTTGAACACACGAGTCATTTAGGATTACAATCAGGCCTTCCACTTGGGGAAAGATATGGGCAACTGACAACAACATTAGAGTCTGCTGTTGGTTTGGGGGGACAACCTGAATTTCCCAGAATCTGAGGGCAGCCCCGTTTTCCCATCTCCTCTTGGGAACACAGATGATTGTGCATGGGTTGTTGACCAATAGATGTCCAGATTTCCATGCAAGCCGAGCCTGGCTTGCGAGGCCGGATCGATTCCAAATGCAGCGCACCCTGCAAATGGCGGCAAGGAATCAAGGCGCCGGCGTGATGAGACTGTTGTACGTTCCATTCTGCACCATAGCTACAGAAACACAAACCTTTCAGGGACATGATCTTTTCCCCAAACCGCTCACTCGGAAACCCCGCGGTCCAGCCCTTCGCGTTCTTGTTTTTGGGGGCCTGTGCTTGCTTCATTTGCTCCCCTTCAGGCAGGCAGCTTCTTCTTTTTTATTTTTTTTTCTCGGGGGTCTCTTGCAAAGAATCTGCGAACTGTCTGGATGAAAGGGCCTTTCTTGGCCTCATGTGGGGTGTCAAGATTTGGCGGTCTCTGCCCAGAGGGTCTGCGAGATGTTTTTGAAGCCCACCGGAAAGGATTCTTTTTTTGCCATCCGTGAGTCTGAAAGAAACGATACCGACCCATGCGCCCGTGGCAAAAGAAGAGGCAGCAATAAAAATGAAACCCATCAAAAACATGCGGTTCATGTTAGTCCAAAGGAAGCCACGGAGGTCCTGGAAGGAAAAGCCAAATTGCGGGGCCTGCGCCTGGTTTCTTGTTGAGGCCCATCGAGTTTGACGAATTTCGGGGGGTGTTTGCACCAAAGCCCTCTGAAGAATGCCCTCTGAAAGGGGTCCTGGCCATTCAAAGTGACGTCTAGACGTGCGCGGTAGCTTCGTGGGCGGTGCTAAACATGCGCGGCGCAATGGGTAACACTGTTGCGCAGAAGGAGTCGCAACTTGACCGCAACATTTGAGCACGCTGGACACTCGGCCAGGCGCTGTGAATCTCATGAAATGCCTAGAGGACGGCCAGTTCGTTGCTGTGAAGACCATGCCGTGTTCCTGGACCACAAACGGCCACTGGGCATGCCAGAGGAAAAGGTGTACTGCTGAGAGCTTGGATCTTGAAGTCAAGCGTGGCTTCTCCTGCTTAACCCGAGAATGCGAGGAATGCCAGGGCATGGGTGTTGCCCCTAAAGATGCTGACTGCGAAGATGTTTTCGGATGTGGATCGGACGAAAGGGTTATGTGAGGGTATGGCCATTGGGAGGGTCTAGGCATGGAATCTCGGGCCGAGCAGCGACGCGAGCTAAGGCCACAGACAGCATAGAAGAGCTCACCCCAGAGATACCGAGAATCCTTGGGTAGACTTTGGCATTGTGAGGTATCTGGCAAAGAGTCTTGGCTGAGAGTAGTTTGGTAGTCTGCGGCAGGGAGGCCCCTGCCATCGGCTATGAGAACTGGTGGGCGGACGGAAAGCCGCCGTCGACCTGCGCTTGATTCCTTGCGCGAGCCTAGGAAATCCGTCCCCTGGGTGTGCGAGCCCATGGGTATTTTCATGGACAGTGTCTCGGCTTGCGCAAGCGCTCGGGCAAGGGCAATGAAAGGGAACAAGGGAACGGGCAATGAGGCGAGTTGCAAAGAATGAGGGTGTTCAAGAGTTCTCTCCAGTTGACTATTCTGAAGGAACTGGAGTAACAAACTAGTTATTTTGACTTGTTCAGCCCGGATGTTGAACAATGGTTGATCCCAGCCGCATGTGATCGAACTGGCCCCGCCTGTCAAGCAGCCCCTCTAACCATTTGCCATGAGCCGGAGAAAGAGCCATGACGGAAGAACTTGCAAGCTGCTTTTCTTTGCAGATGCCTGCGATCACGCGGCCAGTGATTCCCAAGAACTGGACCAGGACAGGTGCGGGCAGAATGGACATCTGCACTTGGGTGTTTCTCTCAACAAATCGGTCCCCATCAAGTCTTTGCATCACCTCGGGGTATTCCACTTTGGTGTGTGCCTAGGCTTGGCATGAGCTCTTCGCCTTGGGATCTCCTTGGCTTCGGAGATTCGGAGAGTCCCAATGGACTTGTTGGTTCAATCAATCAGCATGCAGCTTCAGCACATGTCTCAGGCCAGCGCCTTAAAATGCCGTGGGCCGACTGAGGTGAGTGGACCTACTGTGTGTCTAGTCTGGCCACCGAAGGCGGGGCAGATCTGTCGGAGCGTGTTTCGCGAAGATTCGGAGCTTGCGCTCGTGACTCGAAAGAACAACCATGCAGGTGATCCAGGGATCTCACACGGCTAGTGCAGAGGCCACCAAAACGTGGCAGAAGTGTCGGTATGAGTCACCTCCATCGTTTTCTTCTTCTCACGTTCATGATCGTGCTGCTCGTTCTCATGCTCATCATGATCATGTGCTCACAATCTAGAAGTCTGATTAGTCCGTTGTTATGGACTCAAAAATCATTCCTGCACCATCCATTGCTCATTCCTTGTCCACTTTTAAAGTTATCAATTAAGAGGTAGAGTTGGCAGAGGCAAGAAACCAGGAGATGCATATTTTCTTGTGGCTTGTGAAATATTCCTTTCCAAAGACACTAAGAACAGATTAGATATAGTTGGTACGTTTGATCATTTCATTAGAAAGATACTAAGAACATTTTAGGTATAACTATGTTTGATCAAGATACTAAGCAAAGATTAGCTACAACTCGTACGTTTGATCATTTCACAAAGATTCACAAAGATTCACAAAGATACGAAGAAATGACCGAAATGGTTAGATAGAACTAGCAAGATGGATCATTTGATCACAAAGATACGAAGAAATGTTCCAAGCTTGTGTCCCATTCATTCCGAGCTTCGAGGGGACTTCTTCAACTTCGTGTCCATCGGCCCGGAGCCTGGCCCCGCGCGCGAGAAGGCGAGCCCGAGTTGGTCGCACGCGCGCTTGAGCTTGGGACGAGGGAGGTGTCCGGCATGTGCGCTGGTTTCTTTTGGAAAACCATCCTCAGGGGTTGGTTTCTTTTGGATCCTTTCATGAGGCAGTAAAGGAGCAAAGGAAACCCAAGCAGGGGTATGACCTTGTCAAATCTCCTCTTGCTGCGTCTCTGCATCACGCTTGGAATTGTTGTGGGTGCAACAAAGGAAACAGGAAGGGTTTCAGCTTGGGTCGTGCAGAGGGAAGTACCCGCAGAGGGATTCCGGCGGAGAAAGGTATTGGATGTTCATGCAAGCGCATCTGGGACCGTAACGCTTGTAGTGCACCTGATGTCACGGCATGTCGGTTGGTTGTGTCATTTGGTTGTTGTTCTGGCAACATAGTACTTTGGAAGCATGCTCACGTGATAAGTAGGTGACTATATACATATATACACACATATGTACATATATAAAATTCACACATACATACGTACGTACGTACGTACATACATCCATACATGCAGACACACACACATACATACATGCATGCATGCATGCATACATTTATACATGCATGCAGGCAGGCATGCATGCATGCATACATACATACATACATACATACATACATACATACATACATACATACATACATACATACATACAGACACACACACACACATACATGCATGCATGCATGCATGCATGCATGCATGCATACATACATACATACAGTCCACACACACACATATGCATGCATGCATGCAGGCAGGCACATGCATGCATGCCTGCCTGCATGCATACATAAATACATACATACATACATACATACATACATACATACATACATACATACATACATACATACATAGATACATACATACATACATACATACATACATACATACATACAAACATACGTACACATACATGCATGCATGCATGCATGCATGCATGCATGCATGCATGCATGCATACGTACGTACGTACGTACGTACGCACGTACGTACATACCTAAATACATACATACTTACGTACATACGTACATACCTAAATACATACATGCATGCATGCAGACATACGTGCGTACGTACATACATACATACATACATACGTACATGCATACATACATGCATACATACGTACGTACATACATACATACACACGATGTTTTCGGCTTCCCTTTGCAGAGCCCGCTAAGTTGAGCCATCATGGAACGGTTCTTGGTCTGTGACAAGTCCAGGCGCTACAACCATTCATGGTTCAGCCGCTTGGCAAATCGAGTTCGGGCCTTCTGAAGGGGCGTTCAAAGGAGAAGCACGTTTAATCATAATCAGAAAGAAACCGCTTGGCTGGCGGATCGCCAGCCCATTGCCGAGATTCTTGCCAAGATAGTTCATGTGTCAAGTCACAAGTTGGTAGGTCACAGGCTTCTCAGGCCTTTGGGCCAAAACACACGGCGCCGAGGGTCTTTTCCGCTGTGCGGTGGCTACACGATCGCTTTATTGCCCACTGTGACATCTCGATGGAGAACATTTTGGTATCTCGGGACCTGCTGGGCGGAGTTCGTGGGGGGGGCAGCGGGCAAGAGTGGCAATGCCAAAGTTCAGGGGCGCCGGGTGGTGTGGGTCAGACGGAGAGATGGTGAGAGCTGCACTTGCCAAGCGCGTAGACTCCAAGCGTGGCTTGCGGAAGGCACAGGATGGGCCAAGTGGACAGGCTGCCAGCTTGATGAAGTCGGCAACCTTGTATGTGGGCCCCTCACAAGTTCAAGGCAAAAGCGCAATGACGAACATGCGGTGTCAGAACGGGCTCTTAGGGAGGCAAAGCCAGTCCACGAAACCGCGAGCCACTCTGTGTGTTGTGCGCCTCGCAAGGCACAGCATTTCGCTAGGACACTAGTTGCGATCTCTTTATCAGGGTCTAATCAGGGTCTATACTATGAATTTTTGGGCTTGAACATGACAACCGTGTTTTTCAACTTGCCGGAGTTCATTTTTCTCCCACCCTTGGATTGGGCTTTGGGGTACCGAAAAAAGCGTGGCATAGCTTGGTGGCTCACTCTCCGGTTCCTTGGCTTGGCTTTTTCGTCGGCTTGGTTGGCCTTCCATGTGACCCGCTAGTTAAGCCTTGGGCAGGGGATCTGAGGGCCCAAACGAGCCGCTCGAAGTGGCCGATTCGAATCGACCAAAAAATTGCCCCGCGAGGAGAGAGGACAGTATCAGGCCGGGAGGGAGGGTCTGACGTGCTGCGCTTTTGCTTTTTGTCTCTCTGCAAATTGGCAAGCTGTTAGCTGTTAGCTGTTAGCTGTTAGCTGTTAGCTGTTAGCTGTTCGCTGTTCGCTGTTCGCTGTTAGCTGTTAGCTGTTAGCTGTTAGCTGTTAGCTGTTAGCTGTTAGCTGTTAGCTGTTAGCTGTTAGCTGTTAGCTGTTAGCTGTTAGCTGTTCGCTGTTAGCTGTTAGCTGTTAGCTGTTAGCTGTTAGCTGTTAGCTGTTAGCTGTTAGCTGTTAGCTGTTAGCTGTTAGCTGTTCGCTGTTCGCTGTTCGCTGTTAGCTGTTAGCTGTTAGCTGTTAGCTGTTAGCTGTTAGCTGTTAGCTGTTAGCTGTTAGCTGTTAGCTGTTAGCTGTTAGCTGTTCGCTGTTAGCTGTTAGCTGTTAGCTGTTAGCTGTTAGCTGTTAGCTGTTAGCTGTTAGCTGTTCGCTGTTAGCTGTTAGCTGTTAGCTGTTAGCTGTTAGCTGTTAGCTGTTAGCTGTTAGCTGTTAGCTGTTAGCTGTTAGCTGTTAGCTGTTAGCTGTTAGCTGTTAGCTGTTAGCTGTTAGCTGTTAGCTGTTAGCTGTTAGCTGTTAGCTGTTCGCTGTTCGCTGTTCGCTGTTAGCTGTTAGCTGTTAGCTGTTAGCTGTTAGCTGTTAGCTGTTAGCTGTTAGCTGTTAGCTGTTAGCTGTTAGCTGTTAGCTGTTAGCTGTTCGCTGTTAGCTGTTAGCTGTTAGCTGTTAGCTGTTAGCTGTTAGCTGTTAGCTGTTAGCTGTTAGCTGTTAGCTGTTCGCTGTTAGCTGTTAGCTGTTAGCTGTTAGCTGTTAGCTGTTAGCTGTTAGCTGTTCGCTGTTCGCTGTTCGCTGTTAGCTGTTAGCTGTTAGCTGTTAGCTGTTAGCTGTTAGCTGTTAGCTGTTAGCTGTTAGCTGTTCGCTGTTAGCTGTTAGCTGTTAGCTGTTAGCTGTTAGCTGTTAGCTGTTAGCTGTTAGCTGTTCGCTGTTCGCTGTTCGCTGTTAGCTGTTAGCTGTTAGCTGTTAGCTGTTAGCTGTTAGCTGTTAGCTGTTAGCTGTTAGCTGTTCGCTGTTAGCTGTTAGCTGTTAGCTGTTAGCTGTTAGCTGTTAGCTGTTAGCTGTTAGCTGTTAGCTGTTAGCTGTTCGCTGTTCGCTGTTCGCTGTTAGCTGTTAGCTGTTAGCTGTTAGCTGTTAGCTGTTAGCTGTTAGCTGTTAGCTGTTAGCTGTTAGCTGTTAGCTGTTAGCTGTTAGCTGTTAGCTGTTAGCTGTTAGCTGTTAGCTGTTAGCTGTTAGCTGTTAGCTGTTAGCTGTTAGCTGTTAGCTGTTAGCTGTTAGCTGTTAGCTGTTAGCTGTTAGCTGTTAGCTGTTAGCTGTTAGCTGTTAGCTGTTAGCTGTTAGCTGTTAGCTGTTAGCTGTTAGCTGTTAGCTGTTAGCTGTTAGCTGTTCGCTGTTAGCTGTTAGCTGTTAGCTGTTAGCTGTTAGCTGTTAGCTGTTAGCTGTTAGCTGTTAGCTGTTAGCTGTTAGCTGTTAGCTGTTAGCTGTTAGCTGTTAGCTGTTAGCTGTTAGCTGTTCGCTGTTCGCTGTTCGCTGTTTTTGGTGTCTCCCTGACTTGTCTTGAAACCATGCTGTTTCGTAATTCAAGTCAGGCTTGGCTGGTCGATGCGGCGGATGGATTTGTCCCCCCCCCACAATGCAGCCAGTGCGAGCCACTCAGGGGATGGGCCATTTCTTTGCCATTTGCGTGCGCATAGGTGTCCTTTTTGGTTGTTGGGTGAAAAATAGATGGGTTTCCCTGGTTTACCTGGTGGTTTAATCATCTACCAGGGCCATCTATTTGCCTTAAAGGGACACCTATGTGCGTGTGGTTTGCAAGCGCCGCGAAGTGACCAGCTCGATGGCGACAGGTGAAGCTGATCGACTTCAGCATGGCCGTCATGGGTCAGAAAGTGACCTGCGGCCATCGAGGGAAGCCGTCCTACCAGGCCCATGTGTGTGTGTTTTGTTTTCTTGTTGTTTTTTCTTTCTTCGCGTTTTGTGTCTCTTTTGCTGGCCGGCGTCTGCAGGTTTGCGGCTCATGTCGGAATGCAAAAAAACCCTCACTATTGCAGTTCAGTCAGCGTGGGACTGCGTGGCAGAGCTGGAGTCGGAAGTGTACTTTGCACGGAGAAGCTGAGATTTCGTAGCTGGAGCTACGGAAAAGTATGGACGGTTTTTTAAGACTGTCCAAAAACCCTTGCTTTCCGTTTTGTATTTGGTTGTGTTCACAGTAGCTCAGTTCCGCTCCGCGCAGAATGATCAACAAGTTCAGGCGGCAACGGTAATGGGAAGCAGCCTTGTCATCCTGAGCATGCTTGCATTCATGCACGCCCATGAACTCCTCCCCATGTTTCGCTTGGCTTGGAGCGAGAAGGCGACGGTGACAGGGCAGCCTGTGCGCTTGTTAGGTAGCAAGAAGGCCGGATTTGATAGCTGACCAAATGATGACAATACGACAGCAAGAACGACGACACCGTTTTGCGCAGAGCTAGCACTTTGCTTGCCCTCCCTCGCATTCCTGTCTTTCCCTTGTTGCGACAGTTGCGGTTCTCAAGCTGGAGCTGCCAATGCATATTTGGTGCACTGCCAGCGCTTGAACTGAACAGCTGTGATTTTCAAATGTGTACTTCGTGTACCCTGTTTGTGCTACGAAGTTGCGTCTCAGCAGCTGGAGCAGCAGCAGCAGTGCTGCGCTGAACAGATGCGATTTTGTGGCAGAAACTACGAAAGTGCGCTTGTGGCGGAAAGTTGCGTTTCGGTTGCTCGAGCTGAGGAGGTGTACTTTGCGGCGCTGCAGTGCAGCACAACGAAGTGCAACGCATACGCACACCCGCACATCCGCTGACACAGCGACACGCACCAACGTGCGCATACATACAAGTGCACACAGCCACCGCGCGCACACAGCCACAGACAAACTTACGCGCGCGCGCGCGCGCGCGCGCGTACAGGCGCACGCATTGGCTCCGGCTTTTCGCGACACACTTGGATTTGAAGCCGGAGGCTCCAGAGATGGCTTTGTCGCCCTTCTACGACCCTTTTGCCCTCGATTGCTTCGCGCTCGGCGTTGTGCCCCGGCCAGCAGCCAGCTCTGGTCAGTTGTGGTTTTTTGGGTTGCTTTTGGGTCCCGCGGCCTGTCCTGAACCAATGACCTTGCAGTTATTGGAGGGGTTCCTGCATATTGGAGGATTCTTTTCTTCAAAAAGAACCCATTCAGCAATCCCTAGCAGGTTCATGAGTCGGGTGTCGGCGCGGACTTTGAGCGCCAAAGACAGGACTCACGTTGGTGCTGCCGCTTGAAAACGGCAAACAATTGCACAGGCGGTAGATGGTGCTCAAGTGCTGGAGAATGGATCTTCTGGAGGGTTGGGTGAGAAATTGCTCGATTCATGAATGTTTTGGCGGTTGCTTTTGAATTGGCCGGGTTCCCACCCCACTAATTCAAATCCTTTTTTGGGCACTTCTGGGCGCAAAAAACTTTGGCAGAAGCTACAGGAACGGGCGTATGTCAAGCTTGGGGAGCAGATTGTTGGCGGTTTCAGCTTCTCGCTTGGCAGAGGCCGGGTTCCCCCTTTCGCTCGCAGGTGATCTTCTCGAGCACTGCCCGGGTGTATCCTTGGCTCTCCACGGTGCAGGGCTCTTGCAAATGCTTCGAGCCTCGGCCGCAGAAGGGCAGCGCTTGGAATTCAACTGGCCGACTGAACAGGAAGGAAATCCATTTTCAGCCTGCCAGATGGTTTCCCCCCCCCCCCCCCAAAACATACCACAAGTTCCGGTGGATTTCGGGTACCGTGCCTGGCATGGCGCACTGCTTGTCTGTGCACGTTTCCAACGATGTCGAGGCATCTCATGTTTTTTGTGTGTCGTCGACGTGGCGCCCGGGGCTCGCTCGCTCAGCATGCCAGAATACGGCCAGGCCTTTAGACCTTTAGACCTTTAGACCTTCAGCTGAGCTTTAGACCGCTCGGTTCCAGGGTTGCCTTTTGGTTTTCAGAGACGTCGACCTTCGCCATTCGTTGGTTCAAGGACTATGTTGTACAGCATGGGCACCGGAAGTTCTGGAGAACACGTGCCTGGGCGGCACTGGATCTGAAACCCGACGGCTTGCCCAAAACCCGGACTCGCGCCCTTCGGCGCGAAGGGCGGGACTCGAGGTGGGCGGAAACTTTGGCAGAAGGGTTTGGGAGGGCAGAAAAGACAGTCAGGCCTGACAACCACCCACACCTTTGAAACTCACTCTCACAAGGTTTGGGGGGGGGGGGGGGAGGGGGTGTTCGTATGCTCAGCTTGGTCGCTTCCAGCCATCCGCGTAGGCTTTGGGTTTAGTGGTCGGGTTTCCCTATTTATCGCACTCATAGTTCGTCACTTGATCACAAAAAAGGCCACGGGGGAAACCGCCTCACGTAGCCCAGGGTTGGATGTCGGATGTGCTGATTTGGCTGTGGTGGTCAAAACCGTTTTGGGATCTCATTTTGGGGGATTGGTGAATTCGCCACCCATTTTAGGACCTATTTTAGTTGGGATTGGGATATGTTCACTGGGGTTTGTGGGTTTTGACCCATGGCGGATCGATTTTCAACGCGTTGGATGTGCCTTGCGGAGCTCCAGGGAAGATCAAGAAGACAGTTCCAGTACAGACCATCGACACCGTCCTGAGCGAGGCCGGTTCCCGCAGCCGTTTCTCGCAGGCTGGGGCACAAAGCCAGGGCACCCCAGTTGGGTGTTTCTCATAGCCATTCCAGTTCCTAAAATGGAAAAGGTCTCCTTTGGTTCACCCTTTCGAATACCAAGCCAAATCAAGGGCTCCACCATCCCGCCACAAGCTACGGATTTGTCCAAAGATCTCCTTATAAAAGCGCTTTGGCAAGAAAGAACCAAGGGAGTACGTGGCCACCCCAAACACTCAATGATCAAATTGAACAAAGGCTACAACGATTCAACTGTCCCCCGGAGTTGCCATCCCTCTCTCTCTCTCTCTCTCCCTCCCTCCCTCCCTCCCTCTCTCTCTCTCTCTCTCTCTCTCTCTCTCTCTCTCTCTCTCTGTCTCTCTCTCTCTCTCTCTTCTTGTTCAGCAATTCTTTCTTCTGAGTATTAGAAAGTACAGCACAAGGCAATACTAAACCAATACTAATGCTAAATTAGTACTAAGCCAATACTAACCGATCTGCGCCAGAAACTTGGGAAAGGTCAATCTGCGCCATCGCTTTACCGGTTTCTCTTAGTCCCCAAATTTAAGTCAAAAAAAACCCTTTACTCAGTGATTCGGAGTCTGGGAGTTCCGCAGATCATCTTTCCTTTGAGTTGCATTTCGTAGAGTGTGGATCTCTCCTGGCTGGTGGAAAGTTGACCCAAGCAAAACATATATCGAGCAGCCGCACCTTTTCGGACAGCCATGCATATTACAAGCGCGCCATTGGCTGGAGGAGCTGAAGCAGATCATCGAGGGGATGTTAGCCCTGAATGCCTGCGCCGAAAGCCCAGCCGTTTTTTTTGGCGAGTGCCGGCTGCCAGCTGCCAGCTGTTTCAGGCATGTGCCAGTTGCGTGTGTCGCTGTGTGCCAGCTGCATGCAGATCTTATGCGACTCGAACTAGCTGAGAGACATGTCCGCCCTGGCCATGACTCTTTTTTTGTCGGGCTCGAAGTCAGGACAGGCTCTCAATTGAAGAGGTCTTCAACTTCGGCTGGTTCCACGGCGATGGCCGGGGGCCAAGTCTGGAGTTTGCTACTGCTAGCGGCAGCATACTTAGAAAGGGGTGGAGGGAATGCGTGTCGTTTGGGCACCTGGAAATCGGTTCGTCTGTGCACCTGGAAGCCGGTTCGTTTGTGCACCTGATGTTTGTCAATTCATTCAGAGGTTACATGGTTCTTGGAGGCTTTGACGCTTCAAGGCTTTCTCATTGACTCTCAGGCGCATGTCTGTAGCTTTGAGGGTGCCAAACCCAAAAGCCTAAACCCTAAACCCAAGAGCCTAAAACCTAAAGTGATGTAAGCCAAGCCCAAAAGCCCACACCCTAAACCCAAATCCAGAACCTTAAAACCTACAGTGATGCGAGCAAAGCCCGAAAGTGCTGTGGGCCAAACCCAGAAGCCTCAACCCTAAACCCTGCACCCGAAGCCATGAAACCTAAAGTCATGTGAGCAAATGATGCGAGCCAAGCCCAACAGCCTAAATCCTAAAGTGATGTGATCCACTGGCAGGACAAGTGCGCGGCACGGGGGAAACAGAGCCGTCAGGTGCGCGGATGCACGGAATTCTAGGTGCCAGAAGATGCGAGCCAAACACAAGAGCTCAAATCCTAAAGCGATGCGATGCATCTGTAGGAAAAGTGAACAGCGCTGGGGGGAAACGGGGCAGTCAGGTGTGCGCATGAATGGAATTCTCGGTGCGCGGTTGACCCTCATTCGCTAGGTGCGCAGATGAACTGATTTTCAGGTGCGCAGATGAACCAGTCCCGGGGTGGAGTACTATAAACCGCCAACTTCAGGCATAGGAGCAACATGTTGGCAGATCATTGGCCCATCCACCTCAATTTTTGCTACACCAGGTGAGGTAGAGGAACCGCCATTGGAGCGGGCATGAGTTTGTTTCAGGTGCTTCGTACCTTTGACACAGGTCGTGTTGGCTTGATCCACGATACCAATGATCAAGACGGACGTGTTTTTCACCAACGGGCCTCTTGAGTGACTGACTTCTGGGTCCTCAGGCGCATTTTTCTGCGATATGGGGGCGTTTCTTGAGGTGCGGTTTCGCTCACGGCCTTTGGCTCTGACCAAAAGGCGCCCGAGCCCCAGCATGCATGCGGTGCATGCGTGAGTGGCCTTCGGCGCTGCTTCTATCGACCCCTCCGCTTTTGGCGCAGCTTCGAGTTTTTGGGATTTACACAGTCTCTTCTGTTTGTTGGGGGGAGGAGGAGAAGGGGGCCCCACCCAATTGTCTCACAAGCGCTTGGCTTTTCTTCTCGGGAGTTCGGGACCGCTCCTTGTACTGAGGTCTTTTCAGCCGTGAGGCCGCTTAGGTCTTTCAAGCCACGTTGTGTATTTTCAAGACCCTTTGCCGGCAGACTGCCGAGATAGAAACAGGCGAGCTACTGCTAAGACTCTTGGGCGCAAGACTCGCAAAGCCGCATTGCACATTGAAGAGAAGCGCGTGAGACGTTGCTTCACACCTGGGATCTTTTTACTTGGGCCTCGATAGCGTGAGAAGTCACGGCAGACGAGTTGACCAAACCGCAGCCTTTCGACGACGCCGGCTTTGTGGGGCTCTGAACGGCCACCAATGTCTGGCCGCGAGCAAGAGTCCCTTTTTTCAACTCAGGGGCTCTTGTCGAATGTCGGCCATGTGCGCATGCCACAGTGGCAGCTTGTGGCAGGCATGGCAGAGCTTGGCGGTGCAATCTGCCGTGTAGCTAGGTGCGTCGAATTTCTTGCGCGTCAGCGTCAGCTGGTGTTTTTTTTAGCAGTTAGGCGCCTGGCCAAGCTCTCATGGCAATCCTTGCTCAGCAGGTCCGTGTTAAGCACGGGTTTCAGCTTTGCAGGCCAATTTTGGCTGATGCTCGCAATGATTCCCCTTCGGGCCGTTCGCCACGCCACATTGGCGGACTCTAGGTGGTTTGCCCCCTTTCAAGACCCGAGCCCTGCAGGCGTTCTCGACTTAGAGCTTTAGCTGTAAAGATGTGAGGGGATGGGGTCAAAGGGGCGAGCCCCAAGCACAGGGTCTTCATGCAGTTTCTGAATTGGTGCTTCGCTCTCCCTGTGGAATGCTGTGTTACGTGCCAGAAACAGCCGTGCACCAGCCCGCACAGGGGGCGAGCGGTTCCCTGAACAGCCAGTCGACCAGAGGTGGGAGCGATCAGTGCTAGGAGCCTTTCCACTTATCCACACAGGACTTGCCAGCCAAATGGTGGAAGTGTAGAGGGCATAGGGGCACTTTTGCTGAAATGGATGTGAGTGAGTCATGCTATTGTGGGAGGAATCCAAGGATTTCACAAAGGTTTCCCAGGCTCCCGCAAGGCTTCCTGCAAGGCTTCCCGCAAGGCTTATGCAAGGCTCCCCCAAGGCTCCCCCAAGGCTCCCCCAAGGCTCCTTGAGGGATTTGTAAGCTTCCGGCAAGAAAGGCAGCCAATAGGACTCTATGCTTAGGGTCATAGAGCAGACTTCGTCATCCAAAAGCATGGGACACTTTCAGCCCTCTGAGTAAATGAGGTCCGTCGGAGCTTCTCCCCAGGTTTATTGGAGATGGTTTTGACCCAAACCAATCCTTTGTGCTTTTGGGATACGTCTTCCGGCGGCGCGTGTTTGGAGAACTCAACTGGGATGTCCATGCGTCCATGCGTCCATTTCTTGTCTCCAGCGTAGCTGAAGCCGGCTTCCCGGGCTCACATCTCTGTGAACTCTTTGAAGAGGCCTCAAGACCAGTCGGCTCTTCAAGGCTCCGACGGCACTCCTCCGAATTTCCGCGCGGCACCCGGATGTTCCATGTGCCCATGGCCTTCTCAACCTTCTCAAGCCATGCTGTTTTTTTGGTTATATTTGAGTGAAGGCTCCCCCAACACAGGCGACGCTACACGCGCCGGATTCAGCCGAGTGAGCTTCGCGGTGCAGCGGAGTAGCGCCTACAACTTTTTCTTGCCTCATGGCTGTTCGAATTCATCCCTGGCCTGCAAAAGCCTCAAGATAGCTGTTCGAGACGACCACCGCGTATTTTTTGCATGCACCAACCGTAGGGATGACTTTGTTTTGGCTGCGCTGGAGAACATCCAACCTTTCCGGGCAAGCAGTATTGCAATGGGTGGGGTGGGGCGGGGGGCAAGGTCCTGCCTGTAATTCACAGGCCATTTCTGGTTTTTGGGAATCAAGAGTGTGACAACACCAGTGCGACGCTGCCATGGGTCTGTGTTGGCACTTCCCATAGATTCCAATGGCTTGACCCTTTCTCAATCTATGTTGCCAACTCTCGATGCACTCGCGGCTTGCATGGGGGCAATGATCTTTGGTGAGAAATCAACCAGATGGATGAAGAGGCTGGGGGGGGTGTATCCCATGTTAACGGGAATTCTTCACTTCCGGCGGGGGGGGGGGGGGGATGGGAGGGGTCGACATCAACGGAAAGACGGTTATGAGTTATGTTTTGATGCCGATCGAGAAGAGGGCGACAAGTGTTCAGGGGCTGACGATTTTTCCTGCTTTGTTTCTGTGGCAGTATCCTCCGCATTGGACTAAAGTTGGCTAAATCAAGGCTGATACTGTCTTGGTTTCTCTTACCTTGGTTCCTTGACAAGTGAACCAGCCATGGTCCCCCCCTCATCTTAGTAAACACAGTTTGGCCAGAGTTGCATGGTATGGGTTGCCTTGCCAGTTTCACAAGCAATAGATAGCAGTACAAATGTCTTTTGACTTCAAGGCCCCTTGGGGAGGTTTTGGCTTTGGCTCAGCAAGAGATTCCTGTCAGCATTTTTGAGGCTCACTTTATGGGCACTGCACAGCCCCAACGAGGGATGCACATGCTCAGTTATGCCGAATTCGTGCTTTTTGAAGAGCAAACATATGTTGCCGCACCGCTGCGAGGCATGAGCATGGGCAAGGAACGCAGACCTTGTCCCCTTGCAAAAGACGCGAGGAGGTAATGAGGTAGGTATTCACCGTGTTGCTTTGGGTAGAAGACTCGTGAACGCTTTGAGTCAGCTTCCCTGGGGACGAAGAGCAACCCTTGGGACAGCACCACGCAAGCAACAGCTTCTTTTGCCCCAGGGAAAGCAGAAGCCAGAAGACCCCCCGCCCCGCCAGTGGGCTGGTGCCAAATATGTTCATTTGGAACTGAGGCCGGGTAGAATGTGATCTCACTTCCATTTACTTTTTATTTTCCCCTGTTGGGTTTACAGGGAAGCTATCACTACTGGAGCTATTTTTATTTTTTCCTGGGGTCAGGACAATTGTAGGTGAGTGTAACCAAGCGGGGTGAAGAAATTGGAGGGATGCAGAGAACCCTGCGAATGCTCGACCCAGCTCAGCACTGTCGGTGCATGGCGTTTAGTTGTTTACAGCAGCCTGCGTGTTTGAAGGGGCTCTGTGCTAGTCAGAGGCCGATTGCTCTCTTGGGCGGAGTTGCACCAGTGGCTCCCTAAGTGGCCTGTTTGAACCAGTGAGATTCGTGCAAGACTCGGGTGCCTGAAGCCTCTCACGAAGATCTCCGCCGTGAGAACTGGGACCTCACCTGGAGTAATTGGAACGGCACGCCCATGAAGGATCATTGGAGTTTTGATTGGGATCCCGTATTCAGGTGGCTGTGGGTCAAAACCAGTGGTACCATTTTGGGCTAGGTGAATTCGCCACCCATTTTAGTCTATTTTAGTGGGGATTGGGATGTTCACTGGGGCTAATCGGGCTTTTGACCCATGGCCAGGTGTTTCCTTGGGTTGCACTCCCGGCCTTGCTTGTCGGGGGCCACCTGCAGAACTCTTTTTGTGCCAGTGCCATTCTCATTTTTAACCACTTGCAAACCAAGCGACGGGACTTCGGGTGGCAGAAACTTCCTTGTACCGGTACCAAAGGCTAGATCTCCATCTCACGACCACAACGAACGTAACACAGAAGGCAGGAGGCAGCTTAGGGCCCAAACATGGGGAAACTCGTGAAATACCAAGATGTGCTATCTGCGGAAGGCGTACCATGCTTCTCTTTATGAACTTCGAAGGTTTCACAGATCCCGAGTCCTGCTTTGCCTCAATTGAGCGAAAGGTGAGTTCCATGTGCCAATGGAGGATGGGCCGCTCAAGCTGGCCAACCTTCAGTGTGGCACAAGCCTTCTGGGCCGGCATCGGACGGCTTGGAAGCCCATAGGGATGGCAGAACACATATTGGAGTCAAGCTGGCGAGTTTTCCAGGATCCCCCAAAATGTTGGTTTTCATGTTGGTGTCCCTTTTAAACCACAAAAAAAGGGGGTATCTTCAAAAAAGACATTCCCATGCTGGTTTTCATGTTTGCTGTGCAGGTGTTCCGAGTCAGAGAGGACCGAGCCATGTTGAGAGATGGGAAGTTTGGCCTGTTCAAACGCCCCTCGCCAGTCGGTGGCGATGTTGGCAGACCCGCTTATTGAGGTGAACAATGAGCGGTGAAGCCTCGATTCAAGTCTATTCTTAATGCCACGGTTGGGACGCTCTCGCCAAGAAGATGTCGCATCTCCGTGCACGTATTTGTTGCTCCGTGCTGAAGTTTTACTCTAGTCAGGCAGGGATGCAGAGAAGCTCGGACATAGCGCCGACATGTTTGAAACTCACCCAAACGGGTGACCGAATTTATGCTGAAAGCTCGCTTTGTCATTACAAGACTGCATGATTTGGCAACAATTCGATTGGCAGAAAGGGTGTCGAATCGGGGTCGGCTGACCAGTGTGATTTGTTGAAACCTCTCAGTTGTGCCACCCCTGTTTCGTTTCGGTGCCCTCGACCAGGGTCCTCAGAGTTCCACCTAAGGCCTTTCCGACCTGCCGACATCTAAAGATTTGACAGAGGTGATGGGTCTGCTCGCAGACTGCCGGCCACATCGCTTCCACGCGCAAAAAGCGAACAGCCTTCTGTTGCGCCGGGGCTCGCAGGGCATCGGCTGACTCACGTTTTCCTTGGAAGCATGGCTTGGCCTTCCTTTGCTTCCCCAGAGCAAGCCAACGGATCGGCTGTCCTGCTTTGGGTATCACATTAGGGTGATCAGGTTGACGGTTCTGAGCGGTTTGATTCCGGTTCTCTGAGATTCAGGCCATCCTCTCCAGCCCCATGGGTTCGCCCGAGAAGGAGGAGGCGGGACGTTGAGTTAGACATAGCCTTTCCCGTCCGCATTTTGCCATCCGGTCATAGGGTCCCCCCCACACTTTTGTGCACATTCTGAATACGCCCACTAAAACAACCCATTTTCAACATTCAAATCCAATCACCCAACCAATCCAACACCAAAAAACACATATTCACATACCCATCTTCATTTCTTACCCCATCTCAACATCACCCTTACACTCATTCAATAACAACAATCATAACTACATACCACCTCAACAAATCCCACCAAAAAAATCCAAGCTACATACCAACATTTTTTCATTCCCAAGATCGCAACCCCGAGATCTCAATAATTTCTCCCTTGATCCAACTTGACACCCTTTCCCATTTCCAACAAATACGAACAGTCTAAAAAAGAACCCTATGTTCGCCCCGAAAAATGGTTAACCAATGGAGAAGGGAGAATTAAATCCGTTAACCCAAATCTTGAACAATCTGTGTGACATTGGATGGCAATATGCGGATGGGAAAGGCCTATGTAGGAAAGCACCACCACGGCTTATACAGGAAAATTACACTATAATTATAACATATAAATGTTTACATGTTATAATTATATTATGAGTTCAACTTTATTCTAATTCATTACAAAAATTCTTCTTCAATTCTTTTTATTATTTTATCAGTCGTTTTTTCATTATATATATTGTTTCCTATTTCCTTTTTAAACAAGCCCATTGTTCTAATTGCACTTATTACCGTATATCCAAGTTCGTGAGCTTTATACTCACAACTTAAAAAATCAAAGTCATTATCATTCAATGCTTCTTTCATTAACCGCCTAATATTAAAAGACATACCATATAATCTTTTTACCATATTATAATACTTAAAAATAAAATCATTATCATTTCCTTCCTCATCGCCCTTATATAATAAATTTCCAAACTCTTCTTTGGTCAAGAACTTATTCATTTTAATAAACACAAATATTTCTAAATCATCATCAAGATCTTTAACATTTCTAGTATTAATATATTTGCTATTCATATCATCAATTTTGTTTATCATTTTATTGCAATTATCACATATCATATATTGACAAATATTATCACAAACACCATTAAAAAAACCTTGTTTAATTGGTAATTTTAGCATCTCACAGTCTCTACATTTATAACTCATAAACTTTTCTCTGTATATATTTTTAGCATCAATATCTTCACGGACTGTATCACTATATTTGCTATATTCGCTATTTGTATCACTATATTGACTATTTTCACTTTCTGTATCACTATATTGACTATTTTCACTTTCTGTATCGCTCATTGTCCTAAAATACATATATAGGTAATATTTCTTTAAATACATTTTCAGAGAAATTATATATTTATAGAAATATGTTTACCACTATACTTTCAACATATAAGATCTTACATGTTGTAAGTATAGCAAAACTATGGTATCAAAGGCTTTAATCTACATGAGGATGCTAGAATAAGTTTGAGCTGGTTTCATCCAGTTGGCCTCACCCTGCTGAGTTCGGCGTTGGGTTTCTTTCCCCTGGGCCTTCCGACGTGGCCGGGCGCGCGCGTTCCGGACGCGAAGCGCGAAACGGGAGGACCCCTGGCGGCGGATCCAGGCCGAAGCGCCGGAGGCGAGGCTGGGCTGGTGAAGGTTTTGGTTGGGGAGAGGGTCATGAGGACACCTCATGGACCCAGTTCAAGAAACTGGCCCCGGGAAATTTGGCGTCTCCCTTTAGATGTTTAGATGGAGCTTCGGCTAGCTTTCAAGGGGCGGCTAGCGCAAGCCCAGCGAAACCTCACGAGCTTAGGTCGAACACTGGTGGCTCGCGGAGGTTGCCAGTGGAGAGGCGAATCGAGCTGTTGGTTTGGGCGTACGGTGGCTCGTTGGGTTTCCCAGTTCTTAGCAAGCTTTTGAAGCAAAGCACCTATTGTTGACCCCTTCTTTTAATCACCCCCCCCCACCCCCCCCAGTTTATTGATGGGCGGTGTCCCAGGTTTTAGTGGGGCATCATCACCTTCGGAGGGAGCCCCCCCCCATATTAATAAACTGGGGCTTCTTATTCCAAGAGCAGCTCTGGCCATTTTGGGGCCCATGTCGCTCGAATCCGGAGGACAAGGAGAGCTCCCGAGACCGGGCGAGGCTGGGCCTGCACGCTGTTTGCCCCCTACTGTTGCCGCTTAGCCGAGTGGAAACCCAGTGGTGAACGTGATTAAAAACCCACCTCACCTCGCCCCACCCACCCCACCCCAGCAAAGCCCACAAACAGCAATCTTCCGCGGGGTCGTTTTCAACGACTCCAGCGAAAAGCTCCAGCGATGCGGGGGCACAGACTTGGCACGCCTCTCGATTGAAAGCGGCACAAACCTGGCAACCGAATTCTGATCTTTCCTTTTCTTAGAGGATTCCCTTTCCACAAGAACGGCAGTTCTTCCTCATTTCCGTGGCCCGCAAAGAATCGGGGCTGTTGTGAGGAAGGAAGTCTGGGAAAGGTCCCCAGAGGAAAGGGCGCTAGGCCTGCCTCAAACTCATCTGCATAAAGCGCTTTCAGCCATGATTCTCCGCTGGGCAACCCAGCCTCCGGTGCATCATCTCCCCTTTCTCTTTGTTTTGGAGGATACCCTTTCGGGTTAAAAGGGTACCCCCAAAAATCGGAGAGACACCCTCTGCATAACTTGGCTCCCAGCCATCCGGTTCAGCTCAGCTGTTTCGTGCTTATTCTTTTTTGCGATGCTCGTGGTTTTCAGCGGATTTTAGCGGCTTTTTTCGCGGTTTTTCGCTTTCGGTTTTTCGCGCTTCTTTTTTGTTCTCCGTGGCTTTCAGTTAGGTTTCCGTATTTTCACCCCGAAGGCTTCGTCGCTTCTTCGGCGGCTGAATGCAAACCAGCGCCGTCGGGCCGCGCGGCGCGTCTGCCAGGCCCAGCCAGCCGGGGCGGCTGGCTGCGCGCCTGGTGGTGCGGGAGTCCGGCGCTGGCGTGTCGCCGCTTGGAGAAAGTTGGTCTGGGGGGAGGCGTGGGTGGTGGATTTTGGTCTTATGTTTGCTTTTTTTGTCGGATATATTTTTGAGTCGTCTTTTCAGTCTGTTGTTGGATGTTGGAGCTTTGTTGGTTGGTTAGTTTATATGGCTTTCATGAATTTATGTGATCAGTGCCCACGATCCAAGCCACTGTGAGCCATTGCAGTGGGTGGTTCTACTTGGTTTAAAAAGGAGTATGGCAAGACTCGATAGACGCCTTTTTAACCATCTTGGTAGAATCCAAAGTCTTTGAGTTTTGGTCGCTGCTCTTTTGTTTACATTTCTGAGTATATATGTGTGGTGAGTGCACTCACACATGGGCATCCATGTGTGCGCTGTTGTTTTGTATCTTGTTTGGCCTTGTCAGACGAAGGTCAGCTAAGGGTTGGCTTCTGAGGGAGTCAACCCAAAGAGGTTCAATGGGCTCCTTTGGGGGTTTTGTAGTGCAAGCCGAGCACATGCTATAATTTAACGGGTGATTTGTCACTTCAAGGAGAGTTCTGCTTGAAGCACCTGTCGCGACTTTTGCCCCTGCGAACCCCCCCTTTGCCCGCCCTTTCAAAGACCTCCAGCGACCGCGACGTGCCCGAGGCTCCTGTGGTGCGAGGGCGAGGGTTACCTGGTGCAGGAGATCGAGGCCGCCGGGCACCGGATCGGGGAGAGTCGGGGAACCTGAGAAGCCGTGCTTCAGGAATGCTCAGCGGGTCATGGCTGAGCTTTAGGTGTTGACTGACATGCTTGCTTCTCGGCCAAAGAACAATCGGTGCCAATGGGTCTTTCTGTTTCAAGAGGCCTTGGTGGCCTTTTGAGTTTATATCCAGGGCCACCCGCTACCCGCAGCGAATCGACCAGCCAATCCTGGCGCCCCCCCCCCCATTAGCCCATGGTTTGATGCTTTAGGGCAACATGGTGGGTAGCTCAACTCTTTGCTGCTGGAATTATTCAGGTCCTTCGAACTTTTTCACCAACGAGGACCCAAGAGGGCCAGGTTCCAGGGGTCTCGCGCTAGCTGCGCGAAGGCATCGGGGCGCATTCCTTGGACACTCCAGTTCCGTCTCTGTGGATGGACGTGATCCGAATCGAGATCTTGAAGCCTCTCCCAGGAATTTGTGGAAGGCGTGGACATCATGGGCCGATGATAGGTCATATGTCAGACTGGTTGAGTATGGACGGCACTGGTTTCAGTCTGCTTGTAATCTTTCACCAGTGCTTTTGTTTTCATCTTTTTTTCTTCTTCTTCAAAAGGACACCTATGTTTTGGACGGTGTTTCAACAACAGAATCCTCGTTCAAACATCGGGGATCTGAGCAGTTCCGCCGTCCCTTCTCGCGCGAGGACTCGCCCGGGCAGCCGGAGCTGCGGGTGGGCGATATGCTGCAGAGCATCGGCCGGAACCTCGAAACACCCTCAGCTTTTTGGCTTTCGGTGTAGTGGTTGGGTTTCCGTATTTCACCCAAAAGTGAAGCTGCAATTTTGGAGAGACCTGGGGGAACTCGCCACATTCCAAAGCGCGCCATGCGGGATCGGGAGAGTTTGACCGTGTCTATTGAGAAGAAAGGAGAACTGCTGCCTTCCCTCCTTTCCGACAGCTCTGTGGAGGGGAACTGAGGAGATTGCACCAGGACCCATTTTTGGATTCCTCGGCTGGGGGTGAGGGGTTGACAGCCACCTCTTCCGGATTTTTCCGGATGCATCTGAATTGTCGGCAGGTCCTCCAAAAATGGGAGTTGGCATCCAGAAATCCTATGCAGTTGGCTGATGTCCAGAGGGCCCCTGAAAGAAAAATCGGGCCTACAGAAGCGCGCACAGGCGCTGTGCAGCTGCGCGACGCCCGCAGCGTCATAGAGGCAGCCAGCGGCCCAGGTGACCTCGCGCGGGTCGGTGTGGATGTTTTATGAGAGCATGGGATGTGATGGCGTGACCCATGTGGGTATGAATTCTAGTTAGGGACCCTTTGATGGACATCATTTAGCTGGGGATTTGTCCACCGACCACCTGTCAGGGGGTTCCTCATTACAATCGTTTTTTTTTTGTTCTCCGTTGTCTCCCGATTGTTTGTGCTGGCCAGTCGAGGTCACGCGTGTTCTTGCGCTCTTTCTTTGTTTCCCCTTGTCTCCCTTGTCTCCCTTCGTATGTGACGCAGGGCCGCTCCATTCTTTTTTTGTTTCTCCCATCATTGTGCTTTGTTTTCCCTTGAATCAAGCCCAACAAGGCCAGCCTCAAAACAAGACTCCCCTTTCTCCCATACGCGGGGAATTCCCGTGATGGTTTCATGAAAAGGGACCTGGCGGGCCGCAGGGCAGGCCGCGGGTGGATGCCACTTGCATGCCTCAGAACCCCTGGGTTGCGGAGCGCATGGAAAGCGTCCTGCGCACTTGTGAAGAGATACCCTGCGAGTTTGAACAGGGCTCCTTAACAGATCTCCATTTTGCAACCATTTGAAACATGGCTTTTTCCACCAAAATAAAGAGAACCCACCATGTACAGGGCAATGTTCAGGTGTACAATGTAAGGATCCCTGTTGAAAGCGCTGCCCGTGGCAAAGGGCGGACATTGAAGATATATAGCAATGTTCAAAGATTCCCGACGGAAGACGTTCGCCGGCTTTTATTGTGCGTTGGATTCATTTCGACCATTTTGTGACCTAATCCATGTGCGCATGTTCCGTCCATGCTTTTCAACAAAAAGCTTCAAAGCGCTTCAGTCAATTGTGGAGCCTTAGATTTAAGTTTGAAGATTCTCAGGACTGGCTTTCAAGTCTTTAGTCCGGACTCTGGACCTAGAATGTATCAAACACTGCAAAGCGCTGTTGTAGTGAATATCGCGTCCGGCCAACTCGCTGGTCCCCGGGACCGTATGGTGGTGCTTTGAGCCAACTTCACAGAGATACATTCTGAACTCATCCGCTCGGGACTGAGCCACGGGGGGCGGTAAGCCATCGTGAGGCTTTGTCATCAGGAGCCCCTCCAAAGTGGCTGCCCAGTTGCCTCCTTTTTGCCCTTTCTTTTGTGGGAAGTGTTCCAGTTCCTTTAACTCAACCCCAAAAAATAGGATGCCAATCCTTTTGTCCGGGGAAATCCACCGGGCAACTTTCTTGGCGAAAGCACCGAGCCGTGGGGAATTTTAACGCCACGAGGAGGCGCGCTTTGCCTCGGCCTTCCAAGATGGAGCCTTGCTCGAGGAGGGACGGACGCGCCGTTCGGGTCGTGTCGCTGGCGGTTTTTTTCCCGGCTCGGAAAAACATAGGTTGGGTGTCGGGTGTGTCCTTTTTTTTTAGGGGACCCCCCCCAAATGGTGGTTTTCCTTTTGGTTTCCCTTTAAGCCCACAAAGAAGGGTACCCTGAAAAAAGACGCTCGTATACCAGCTATGGGGATGACTGAGTTCAATTCTGATTTTGTCTCACTGCCCTCGTCTCGGAGGGCGTGCTCCAGTCGGTGTGCCGAACGCCTCAACAGCTCACCTGAGCCACAATCAAACCCGGGTAGATGAAGGTTAGTAAGGGACAATCCCAGCCAGAAATAGCTGCGGCCGCCTTCTTAATTCTTCACATGGTTCTGGGTAGACCATTCTTGTACCGGGTTTTGATTATGACATTTATGACTCACCTGAGTTTGACTGTAGTGCTTGGATGTCAACCAGCAATTGTGCTCATTGGCTTCTTTTCTCTTTTGCTTTTTTTGGGTCTTCGCTTGGGGGATGAGAGCCATTCTGTCTTATGACATTGTGGTACTTGCTGGGCTACGATGTTGTTGACACATTCACTTGCCAGATTCGACCGACCCATCGCGGAAGCCGCGCTCGATGGCTTCCCAGGTCCATCGCCCCTGCTTCAGCGTCACTTTGAAGGCGTTTCGGCGGCCAAAGCAAGACGTCCCCGAGCCCGACTTGGGCGGTTGCACCGGGTTCCTAACAGCTTGACACTTGAGGCAGTTTAAGTCACCTCCTTTTAAAGCAGGCACAATTGCGGGATGTATCCTTAAATATATTTTCTGTGGCGGGTCTTTGCAACTGCTTTTTGCGTTCCAAGTTTGATCCAGGATGTCGCTTTTTGTCGCCTTTTGGGGTGGGCATTCTGTTTTGAGCTTAGACATATATATATATATACACATAGAGCTAGCGAGAAGTAATCAGGCTGGATGCCTTGCAGCAACAACAACAACGTTTGCGGCGCATGCTGCAGGTGCATGCTGCCCGCATTTGGATAGACCATGGAGAAATCAAAGAGTCGTACACGCGCCAATGCGGACACATAGATACAGTAAATCCTGTCAACAAGACCAGAAACTCACACCGCTCGGGCACATTCTTCCAGCCACAAGCGCTGACCCCATGCGGGGGGTTCGGTTCGTTCCACGCCGACACGAATATACCTAGATAGCAGCGCAGCAGGCACGTAGGACCTAGTACAAGATGCTTTCACACAAACCCACCTGGGACAGTTTGACGCCAGCCAAGCGCAGATAAACATGCTAGTTGGGGCAGCGCGACAAAGGGCATACCCTTCCAAGTAAGAACATGAGCGACTTTCAGCTACAGAGAAGAACACAGACCCAGCAGATAGAGCAGCTGCACCGTCACAGAATCCGTTACCGAAGACGTCGACGTTATCGAGTCGGCTGTGCGCCGAGCAGCTCGTGGCACCGGAAAATCTGTTTAAGGCAAAGCACCTGGCCCGAGACCTGTCGTTTTTGTGGGCCAACCTCAACCTTTTACACCGCAGTTACACATTTTTGTGGGGGACATGTTCAGGTAACATAAACATGTACTGTTTCCAAGTGGTTTTCAGCGGACCCGGCACCTTGCGCCCCCGAGTTCCGTTTTTCGAGGTCCCGAAAGGCGGTGCTGGCTTGGCGCTGGCACGGCTCCTGGGGGCGGTTTCGGGGATGCGAAAAGCTCGCGGGGGGGGGGGGGATGTTTTTTGGCAAGGGAACAGAGGCTTGGACCTACTGTTGGATGACATCCGGCACCATGAAACGAGTTATCATGGTTGAAAACATAACTTTGTAATGTACAAGGGGAGTCATAATTCCAGAGTTTCTTAGGTATTTGGTGTTCAAAGATTGGCAAGGGATGGATTGAACATTTTGAAATATGTGTGCCCTTTGGGTGGGAAGCGAGAGCCACGCAAAAGCCCCGAAATTCACGTGGCCCCAAACTCCCCACAGAAAGGGAGAGCACCGGAAGAGGACGGGAGGAAGTTGCACCGTTTAGAAGTGACTTGAATTTTCACGCGGTGGTCTTCTGATGCGAAATCGCCGGGTTTGATCTGGGAATCTTTTCTTTTTTTTGTTTTTTGTTGGATAATTTCAAGCAGCTTGCAATTTCTCACTGAGAAAGGGGGCTTTGGACTGTCGCCGGTGTAGTCCCTCGGCCGGGAAGCCAGGGTGTGGCTTGTTCTTGCGTTGACACGCAAATGGGCGCAGCCCAGATGTGGGGGGGATACAAACGCGTGCGCGCGCGCTCGCTTGCTTCGATTGGCTTGCTTGACGGTTGCCTTGCTTGACGGTTGGCTTGTTTGACGGTTGGCTTGCTTGACGGTTGGCTTGGTTGACGTGCTTTCCTTGCCACGACCCAGTCACCAGCTTTTTTTCCACTGCGAGCCAACAAGCGCATCCAACCGGCAATCAAGTGCATCAAGCGATCACAGATAACATGCGCCCGTGCAGCCCCTTCGTGTTTGCTTACCCTGCTAAGCTACATGTAGGTTTATGGGGGCTAGATAAATACGTTTCAGGGCCACGTAAGGTGCATGTCTTTCGTTTCTTTACCAACAAGGCGGCGGCTTGCTGATTGACATTCTGAAACACGTTCTGCTTGTCATTTTGGCTCTGGGTTAGTTGGCCTTTCCTTGGATTGAACCCAACGAACCAAGCGACCCAACAACCCACCTACTGATCCTCCCTCCCTGTCTGGCTGGTGACTTTGCGCGGGTTGCGGGCGAAGTTTTGGCGCGCGGCTCAGGTCTGGCACCCCCCGGAGGGATACCTTGTGGAGGCGATATGTGTCGAGGGAGGTGTTCCAAGTAGTTTCCTGGCACCCATTCGGCTGTTCGTTGCTTTTAGTTGGTTTTAGTGGCAGTTTCCACTAGTTTCCAGCTTTTCTTCTGGTTTTTGATGTTCGTGCCACATACGCAAAAGCAAAAGGTAGATTTGGCGGGCCAGCCTGAGGATGAATTGCCCTCTTGCCCATTCTTCGTCCCAAGGTCTTTCCCCAAATTCTTTGGGGGCCAGGGCGAGTGCGCGTGAGCACTTGCAGCTGCTCCCGGGTGGGCTTCTCGAAGATCAGAAAGACCTGGCGGCGGATTTGGCCATCTGAAGCACGCCGGCTCAAAGACCCTCATTTGGACTTCACCCCCGAAAACAGCCCTGTTTTCGGGGTTTCGGGCGCAAGTAGTTTGGTCAAGATAATCCTGTGCCAGGATGTGCTGGGGTTTTGCTTGGCCCCCGAGATGCATCTGTGGATTTTGGCTCAAGAAAGGAATGTCGGCAGTTTGGAGCCCCAAAACACACCGCATCTGAAACAAAGACAACTCCATTCTGTGAGCTTCCTTGAAGAAACAGCAAAGCTGGAAGCCAATGAAATATCCTGGCAGCTTGTTTGCAAAGCCAGGCGGTGGAGTCAATCCCTGGGCAGCCTGACTTGAGGCGCGCAAGGACAGGACACCTTTCCCCCTAACGGTTACTCTACAAATTTACATGGAACCCCCAAAAAAGGCAGCCCATTGAGGGCTCTCCTTTTGGGTGGGACCCTTTTTTTGGGTTCTATGTGAGCCGGAGAGCAAGCCTTAAGCCGGGAGACGTCTGGCCACGTCGTTGGTTGGGACCGCCGCAGGGCGGGAGATGTGCCCGGGCCTCAGCGCAAGTGCTCCTAGAGACGAGAGGCCGTCCAGTTGAGGCCGCCGTTTTTTTTTTTTTTACAGACCCCAGATGAGGGGTGATTCAATCACACTGGGAATGTGATTGTGGAATTCCGGCAATCCGATACTTGAGCTTCTGAACAGATGACAGCCTCGAGCTGAGTGGCAGACCTCCCCGCTCGCAACCATCAAGTTCGGTGTGTCTTTCTGCTTCAGTCTTTTGCGCCAAGGACCTTTTACATCCATCAAACTCTTTCTGCTTGATTTTCTTTGGCCACGCCACGTTTTTCTTTTCGCTCCTGGCAACTTCGACAACTGGAGTTTTTTCACGCCACCTGGGCGCGCGGGCCAGGCTGCGGCGTGTGGGCGCCACGGCACTCGGCCAGCCTGGCCATGCATTGCCGACACCGCCGCCCGGGGAGTGATTTGCATGCTTCCCCGGCAAAAAAGAAACCAGGAAAAACATGAGCAGATTGGGTATATAACCCTTCCGGGTGACTAATCAGCAGGCAGAATGGTGATACGTCAGTTGCTTAAATTACATCTCCTTTTTCATTGGCAGAGGGCTGCCGGGAGTGAGATCCCTGATGGCGCGTGCTCCCAGCACTGCACAGAGCCCGTTGAGGACTTGGTTTGTCCCCAGGGTTGGTGACATTTGTTTAAAAGGGTAGAAGGACGTCAAAAGCAGGTGAGCCACAATCAAAACCCGGGCAAGTGAAGATCAGTAAGGGACAGTCCCAGCCGGAGTGAGGTGCGGCCGCCTTAGTTCTTTACATGGTTTGGGTAGACCGTTTCAATACCAGGCTTTGATTGTGAAGGTGTGTTTAAACTTGATTAAACCTGGGCCATCGATCAGTCAAGATAGCCGAATTTATGACCTCAAGAGGGGTAAGCAACCCCGATCTCGTGTTTGCCGTTTTTTTTTTTTTTTTGAAGTTTTGGGGGGGAGTGGCGCATTCGTTGGACGGCAGGGGGCTTTGCCACGCAGCAAGCGGCGGACCGCGCGCTGGCGAGCGCCCTGAAGGATGGGGAAGGTTCATGCCATGAACAAAGCAAATCAGTAGAAGTGACCGGAAACCCCAATCAAGCCCGGTGTGTTTTTGAAGACCCTGAATGAAACTCGTGAGATTCCAGGGGGTCATGCTACTTGGAGGGCGGGCTTGATTTTTGCCGCTTTTTTCGATGCTGCCAAGCTTAAGTGGTGCGCATCTCACCGAACTGGCCGCAGCAAGCAGCCACCGCCATCCGCCCTGTCAAGGACGGTGTCACTGCGCGAGTTTACAGGCAGGCCAGCGGGACGTACACCCATGCATAGTGAGCGGATGGTGGAGGGGTTCAGTGATTCAGCATGCCAGGGTTCAGCTCCTGATTGAATATGGATTTGGCTTCAACGACGGATCCAGAAAATCGCGGCTGGGCACCTTTCCTGCGCAAATCTGGATGAGAATCCATTGTTTGGTGAGTTGCGACCATGCGTCATTTTATCAGCTACATCCCTCCAATTCACGAACTGGATATGTTACATGGGCTTGCGTGCGTGCTTGTTCTTACCCGCCCACATAATTATGCAATCTGGAGTCTGCAACCTGCAACAGCCATTTGGCTCTTGGCTTGAGACAAGACTGACAAGACATGGACCTATGAGTTGCAAGGCGACAAGGACTCCGCCGAGAAACCTTGGGTAGCAAAGCTGGTCATGTCCACCGGAGAAACCTCCTTGCGCACCCCTGTCAGCATTTAAGTGGTGAGGCCAGATTCTTGAGATGAACGCAATGTAGGCTTCTTGAGAAGACATAGGACTGGAGCCTTCTAAATGTTCCTGCCTGCTTCCCGTTTAGAAAAGATATCTGGGTTTTGTATAGATCTTGGAGCTCCTCTCAAGCGACGTCTTTGCTTGCCCATACAAAGTGCCCCCGGCTTCGATATGTGGGGTTTTCTCAAACCAGTCCTCTAAGAGTTTTAAAATGGAAGCCACCAGACAAAGCCATGTTTCGGCAGGAGGTTCATTCGGGTCTGGTTTTTTGAGTTCCGTTTTTTGGCGAGGTTGCTTTCAAGGGACCCAAAAAAAAGAAGAAGCCCACGACTTTGGGGGTCCCACCGATTTTGGAAAAAACGCCTCGCCATGTCGGGGATCTTGGCGGCCTACGCCTCGCTGCTGCAGCGGCGGCCGCTGGCGACGAAGGGCGCCTCCGCGGCTCACCTCGCAGGGAGCGCGCGCTCGGCCGGGCCAAATTCCGGGCAGTTGGATGGGTCCATTGAGTTGAGATCTTGGTGGGTTGGACAGGGACATCAAAATGACCACTCACTTCCTCAGTTTGTCCTTCAAGCTTGTTGGGTTACCATTCTGGTGGTAGATATAGAAAGTTCAGGGACTTTCTTTGGCCAATCCCTTCTGCCTGGGACGTGAGTTGCAACCGTCGTGCCCATTTTGGGGGGTGCAGCCTAGGCCGGGCTGCTCTTCGGCCTGGGGGACTGCTGCGCGCAGCGGCTGGAGGAGCTCGACCCAGCGGCTCGGGCTCAGGGTCGGCTTGATGTGCTGAAGCGCTTTAGGTTTTTGTCGTGGCATTTGGCTTGGTTCAGTGGTTGGGTTTTGTGTATCTGAGCCACCAAAAGTAAAAAAAAACAAGTAGCAGGGGATGTGAGGGCAGCGCAGTTAAGTAGTGGGACGGGCCACATGGGGAGCCGGTTGGTTCTTGGTTTTGACGCCTGCCGGAGATCAGCAGCTGTTCGGTTGTGAGACAACACAAGCTGGGTGTCGTTTACGCAGGTCCTTTTTGGCTTGTCAGGTTGAATATTCCTCAATCAGATCTAGGCTCATGAGAATTGACCGGTTGCGGCGATCCTGTACCAATGAACTTTGAAATCCAAATTTGTCGTCACAGCAGCCGGGCCAATTTTCTATGTTGGTGCGCAACTTGATTCTGTTGGATTTGCCCCCAGATGCTCCCAATCGAGGCATGTCTTGATACGGTACCTTTCCGCTCCCTCTGTCAAGTTGTGTTTCCAAAAGCAAGGTTGGGGAGTAATATTTGATGCTCCTGAAATTTCGTCTTGCTAGCGGCGGGGCTTCAGCAAGCAGCTCAGTGGTGATCATTGTGGCTCACTATATCCACGCCTGCCTCTCAAAGAGTGTCATTTGGGTGTGGCTCAGAATTAAAGAGCCAGGGTTTTAGTCTTTGGTTCCATCTACCCAGGTGCCAAATTTTGGTACATTTTTTTGAGCCACAGCCATTTGAGGGGGTGTTTGCATCAGCTTCCCTCGCATTTCGACACTCTCACCCTCGCCCGCACAGGAGAAGCCCTTCGACGAGCGGCGGCTGCTTGCGTTTTCCTCCTTCGGGGCGCGGTGACGGGCGTGGGCAGAAATTTGAGCCCCGCAGTTTGGGTGACTGGGGGGGTTGTCCGCATTTTCCCTGCAAGCAAGCAGCAGACCAAGCACAGAGGTCTCTTTTCGACCAGCTCCAGCTTCTCAGCCCATTCGTTTGTGACGCATTGGAAAAATTGCCAACTCCTTTGGCCCACAAGCTGATGCCCAATCCAGCATGTCTCCCGTGCAGAGTGCATCTTTGGATCCGCCGATTTTGGAAGCTCCAGAATTGCAGGGCTCTTGGTACGCGGTGACGCAGCACTACTGGTTTGCCTGGCTGGAGCGGGCGGGAGAGATGGAGAGATTGGCCGGAGGCTGTTGGGATATGTTTGGTTAGGAGGGAGCTTGGTGGGAAGCTGATGGGATGTTCTCGTTTATTTTTTTCCCCTCCTCCCCAACAGCTGAAAGCTAAGGGGTCTCAGCCCGGATAAGGTTTGGAAGGTTCAAGGAGGGTTCGGCCGGTATAAGTTCAATGAAGGTTCTGGAGGTTCCTGGGTGGTCTGCAGGCCAGGTAAAAGGTTCAAGGAAGGTTCCAGAGGATTCGGGGTGGTGCAAGGAAGGAAGGTTCCGGAGGTTCTGGGGTGGTCTGGTGCAGGAAGGGGGACGGTTCTGGGGTGTGTAAGAGGTTCAAGGAAGGTGGTCTAGCGCAGGCAGGTGCAAGGTTCAAGGAAGGTGAAAGGTTCAAACAAGGTTTCTGGAGGTTCCGGGGTCTGAGGCCATGGGTTGTCTGGTGCCCAGGTGTAAGGTTACAGCATGTTACAGCAAGGTCGTCTGGTGCAGGCCAGGCAAAGGTTCCGGAGGTTCTGGAGGATGATCTGGGGCAGGCCAGTTGTAAGATTCAAGCAAGGTTCCGGAGGTTTGGGGGAGGCCAGCTGAAGATTTTGCGAGGGATCTGAGGTAAGGTTTCACCGCGAGGGTCAAAAAAGAGCTCCGCACGCTGTTGGGGATATCGCCTGAGCTTTTTTTTCTTTTTCTTGTGGTGTGGCCGATAGCAAGCGCCTTCGATGCTTTTTGTGTGGGCCTCAGGCAGTCAATTTGCTCACGGGCGATTTCAAACTGGCAAAGGCCCAAAGAGAATGCTTCTGGCCTCATCCCCAGTTCATGTTGTCTGCCGCTTCGAGTCTTACGACTGAAGCCTTTGGGTACCTCCTTCTTTGCGTCTGGTTCCGGAAGGGTCTGCAAGGCGCTTGCGGTGGAACCGTCTCTGTCTTGCACCGGATGCTTGGTAGGCTTGCTTGGACGGTTGAGCGCCTTGAGGGTACTTGGGAGCGCAGCTTGCGCACTGGCCGCAAGCCAACGTTGATTTGGCTGGCGCGCCTTTCGGTGGCCTCGAGAACAGGCGCTGGACTTCCGGGTTCGCTCAGCCAGCGGTTGCCCTCGCCGGGCCTCCGACCTGAGGGTTTGGCGCGCGCCTTTCGACGCGCGCCCTCGTGTTTCTGGCCGGCGCAGATTGGGTCCCTGAAGATTCTCATCACTCGTGAGGTGTGCAGGTTGTGAACGCCTTCTGGCGTTTTGGGTATGGCTCGTGAGCTCCCTTCCAACCAGGCGGCCCCATCTCTGCGTCATGTGGAGGCCTTTGCAGGTCAAAGATCTTTTGCTGACTTGCGATTGAAGCCATAGGCGTCCTTCTTGGTTGTTGTGGTCGACAAATAGATGGGTTGCCCTGGTTTTTTCCTGCTGGTTTAATCATCTACCAGGGAAACCCATCTACTTGCCATCCAACAGGACACCTATGATTGAAGCCCTCAGTGCACGGCAACTGTTGTCTGCGCGACAGCTGGTTTGCTTGGCTCGAGCCGCTTCCCGAGTCCTCGAGCTTGTGAGGAGCGCAACGTGGCAGTGGGCTGGACGCCCTTCCGGGCGGCGTGTTGCCGCGTGACGCTGCACTCGGCGGTCTACGCGCCCTTTAGCCGCTCAGCTCTGGGGTCTGAAAGATGAACTGACGAAACATGTACCCTCCCACCCACTGACATGGAACGTCCTTGAACAGGAACATGGTCCAAACCAGGACACCTAGTCCACCATGAATCTCGTCACCCCCCGGTCAGCTTGATGTTTCAGCTGGCTGTTTTCTTGTTCTTGGAAAGAGCAACCCTCAAGACTGTGAAGGGCAACAATTTGTAGTGGCAGATGTATTGGCAACAGCGATTGTAACTTAAGCATTTGGGATGTGACGATCTTAAATCAGGGAAGAGGGTTCTCTCGGTGGCTGCCCTGTTTGCTGGCAGTCGGGGCAAAAGAGTTCATCTTTGAGCACAGAATGGGGGTTATGAATTGGGGATCTACATTCGCCTGGAACCAATGTGGCCATGCGTTTCCCAGTATTTCTGTAGCTAGGATATATATATATATGTGTATCTATCTATCTATCTATCTATCTATCTATCTATCTATCTATCTATCTATCTATCTATCTATCTATCTATCTATCTATCTATCTATCTATCTATCTATCTATCTATCTATCTATCTATCTATCTATCTATCTATCTATCTATCTATCTATCTATCTATCTATCTATCTATATCTATCTATCTATCTATCTATCTATCTATCTATCTATCTATCTATCTATCTATCTATCTATCTATCTATCTATCTATCTATCTATCTATCTATCTATCTATCTATCTATCTATCTATCTATCTATCTATCTATCTATCTATCTATCTATCTATCTATCTATCTATCTATCTATCTATCTATCTATCTATCTATCTATCTATCTAATCTATCTATCTATCTAATCTATCTAATCTATCTATCTATCTAATCTAATCTATCTATCTATCTATCTATCTATCTATCTATCTATCTATCTATCTATCTAATCTATCTATCTATCTATCTATCTATCTATCTATCTATCTATCTATCTATCTATCTATCTATCTATCTATATCTATCTATCCATCTATCCATCTATCTATCATCTATCCATCTATCCATCTATCTATCTATCTATCTATCTAATCTATCTATCTATCTATCTATCTATCTATCTATCTATCTATCTATCTAATCTATCTATCTATCTATCTATCTATCTATCTAATCTAATCTAATCTATCTAATCTATCTATCTATCTATCTATCTATCTATCTATC